TCCATAAAAGAGCATGCTCAATTTTTTTAGAGCCTGCTCTTTCCCAGAAATTGCATACTGTATGATTTTTATGCGTTAATTGGACTGTACAGTGCATTAGGAATTCGTCTAACTTATTTTAAGTGTTGTATGGGCTGTTATAGACCTATAATAACATGAGAAAATAATAACTAAAAAATGGATTAAAGGATGGACTGTATAAGTTAAGAAAACTGAGGTTGCACACTGTTGGACAAGTTTCATTAGCACTGAAACTTAACAAGGATTGTGTATATGATTTAATTATAAAAATAAATCATATTTCTATAGTATTATAAGTATAGTGAATTAATTAAAAATTCCCTATGCTTACCTTGGGTTTAATTGATACTCAAATTTCTATTAACTGTATCAATCGTGAACTATAAGATGCGCGTAGTCAAGACAAATACAAAACGCAAAGGCACTACGACTTTTTAACAAAGGGAAGGAGGTTTAATTGAGAAAAGAAGGATGGCAGTTGCTGGTCGTGCATGAAGAGAGGAGAAGGTAAAAAATGAAATGTCTCACCCCCCTTTTATAGGAAAACCCTAAAAGTGCCCCTAAAAGGCCCAGTCGGGTCCGAAAAAGTGGAATTTGAACAGACGCGCTCAAACTGTAAAATTTTATGAACAAAAAAGAACCAAGATGAGAAAATATGAATAACAGAAGAAACGTCGTTGAAAATCGAATCCCGAGCAGAGAGATATGCCCCGAACAAGTTCGGCGGCAACCAAGGCCAGAAACTCTGAAACTGGGAAAAAACGACCAGAAGGAAATTCTAAGAGTACATGACTTAACGAAAAGTGAAAATGAATCACGTACGAGGATCCAGGCTCAAAACGAGGCATTTTTGTAATAACTTTTATTAATTGCATAATGACCCCTCTAAAACGTGAAAATTGCACTAATGACCCAGAATGAAAATATCTTCCAAAAATTATTTTCTTAAAAACCCCTAAAATAAAATATCTTCAAAAGATATTTATGAAAAACACCCCAAGAAAAGAAAAAGATTCTAAAAAACTATGTATCCATGCCCCTATGGACACCGGGAGCAACCAGAGTACTTTATTGCAAAAGTAAAGATACGTAATTCGTGAAAATCACTTAGGATGAAGATACTTGAAGTCAAAAACCAACTCCGAGCATGAAAAGTAAGGTTGTGCCAAAAAGTGACAAATGGAGAAAAGACAAAATAGGGAAAAGGACGAAAAATGAATAGTGTCGAAAAAACGAAAAATGTGGAAATGACTTGGTCTTTAAAAGAAGTTGTTAATTCAAAAGGAAAGAGTCTTAGAAACCATTTTCAAGCACTCATAACTACCCTAAGTAACGAGAAACCAAACACAGAATAGAAAAGACAACGGAAAAAAATTATTCGTAAAATTTGAGGAAAAATGAAAGGAAAAAAATGACCGAGTCATTACAATAAATATTTCAAATAAGTCAGGAACATATGTCACTTTAATCCAAATAGGAATTCGCTATGCCAGGGCATATAAATCCCAACAGCTCCCACTTGCCCTCATAGCCAACTATAATTGCATTTAACTCCAATGTTATCCAGGTGACGATCAAGACTATTGATCATTGACAACATGTCATGAGAGTACAAAATATGAAATGACCGCATTCAAATGCAATGCAAAATCATTGAAGGGTTGTCACCTGAAATTCCAACACACGAGTCTCTCAACAATACACCTTTTATGTGCAGCTGCTTTTACATAGATATTAGTCTAGTAGTTTCCCTCCTTTATATAGTACTAAAACTATATAGGAAACAAACAAGAAGTCACGGAGGAACAAAGAAAATGAAGTCCATTGAAAATGGTAGCTTCAAATACTTAGAAAAAAGATTGTGTTCAAACTAGAGTGGTCTTTGAAACCATCAAATGGTTTTGTTGAATGAAAATGGACACTGTGGTGAGACATTGGGCTTACTTGTATGCAGTTGAAGGGTTCAAACCCTTAATATTCTACTATTTTTTTTGGACAAAAAAATTGGAAAATGATAATGGATTGTTATGGTGTGCACTTGTGCTATACACCCACAATATTGTGTGTGTATGTGTATAGAGTGATAGAAAACTTTAAAAATTGAACTGTTGGTATCAAATGGAGTCAATATTCATGCAAGATCTCATGAATTTAGCACTACCTGCACGCCACTTGTAATGTTTATTAAATGGGCATATGTACAAAAGAGATATTTGATTTTTTTTTTGTGGACCCCACAAAGCATTACTCCAGACTCGGGACTGAGCTTCCTTTCTCTTCTTGCCTTAATTTATTATTATTATTATTATTATTTTTTACCATTTCAATATTTGATTACTTCCTCATTTCTTGGAATTTTTGGAAGCTGTTTATGGCAAACGGAGAGTACGGCGAGATCTTCAAGTGGGTATAAGCAATTTCAGTTTTGGTGCACTCTAGGGAGTTCGAAATTCTAGGGTTCTTGGGCTCAAATTGGGGGTTTTCATCAAATTAAGGTAGGGATGTTCTAATCTACAACTTCTTAGCCTTTTGTGAATTTTTCCCTTTAAATTTGATCCTAAGCATGCTAAATTTTTATTGCCTAGCTTGTTGTTGTTATAGTTATGTGTAATTAAAATGATAATTTTGTTCCATGTGTTATTTGAGTTCATACACATGACTATTTTCATTCCGGTAAACGAGTATGCTTAATGTTGATATGTTGTATGTTCTATGATTTATTTTTTTATTGCTTTTGAAGAATTGATACTATGGTTAAAAATAAAAAATAAAAATAAAATGAATGTTTAGAAATTCCTATTAAATTGTGATGATGATGTAAATGGAATGTGTGAAAGCCTATAGTTGAATTGATAAATTGAAACACACGCATTCATGCATTTATTGGGAAAGAGAAAGGGGGAAAAATATTTTTAGAATAAACGAAATTATTTTGGAGAAAATATTTTCTAAAAGTGTTGTGAAAACCGGACGCCTAGGAGGCGCCTAGTGATCCGTGATGTTGGTGTAGTCTAGAAGGGAATGCAGTTGAGTTAACTAAGCCGGATGCGACGCCTTGGAGGTGCCTTGTGGTCGTGAATAGTTAACCAACCTTCCTTTCGTGACGCCTTGAAGGTGCCTTAGTCGGATTACACTAACAGTTTGGTTGTTGAAATGAAATTGTTTCGAAAACGAGGAATGGCATAGGCATGACATTGCACTTCATGGTACATGTGGGAAATTTGTGGTTGGATGTTATTTATACCATGCTTGTTGTTGTGATTGAGATTATTTTTTTCCCATGGTATGACCCCGTTCTTTTTTATCCATTCTTTGTGTGGGATTCACAGGGATATAAGAAGTGTGTTTTAGACACTTCCTACTGAGTTTATACTCACCTCATTATTTTTTAACATTTTTCAGGACATGGACAAGAGGTGGTGGACGACGATCCACCACAGGTTTAGACGAGCTTGAAGACCCATTTCATTTTTGCTATCTTTTGTATTAGAACCTTAATATTTTGTAATGTTCTCTTAACTATTTTGTGAAACTCTAGTTTAATGGGTACAATGTTGTAAGTTATGGACTTTTAAATTCTAGCTACATTTTATGGACTGTAACTTGATGTAACTAAGATGTGTTTCTGTTTAGATGAAATGGTGGAAGGGAATTTTTGATATGTATGTAATTATTTTGGGAATGTGATGTAATACTTGTATTGTGCGTTGGGACAGGACGAGTTATTTTTAAGGCCCAGCGATGCCATTGTATTTTTTTTTGGTATTTCAACAAGTTGTAAAGGGACTTTTTCTGCGAAGGTCATGTCGAAATTTTAGCTATTTTATTGTTATTCTTTTGGTATCTAGTTGGGTCGTTACACCACTATCCATTTATTAGGGTGACAAATGAACTGGTGGATTATGAACTTGTGTTTTTGCTTTGTCTTGCAAAACACTCTGCTTAAGTAGCCTAAACTATGAGAAGAGCTAATATATATGTTCATTAATCGAGTTTGAATAACATTTTTAGTTAATTAACTAATTGAGTCTATAAAATCTCAATGCTTAGGGCGTGTTTGGTACGCATTTTTGTTTTTGTCAGGTTTGTTGGTGTGCTTTTGAAAAAGAACGAGTTTGGTAAAAAATGTTTTGTAAACAGTGGCCAAAAGTTGAAACATTAATTCAGTATTTTTACAAGTTTTCGCATTGTAACAATGAACAATATCAATTTAATTTAATTTTTTTAATTAACCGTATTTTTTTAAAACTTTCAATACCTTTTTTTTTTTTTTAACTAAACATGTTTTTATGTTTAAAAAGTTTACAACGAATAAACATTACCAAATATATTTTTAATTATTATTCAAAATAATATACAACTGAATTAAAATAAAAATAAAAAAACAAAAAACACTCTAGTCTCTAAACTAATTGTGTCCAAAAAAACCCATTGTCCGGCTACAAAAACCCACACTATCTAGATATTGTTGTCCCTTTTCTTGACCACGATTTTATATCCTTGTACACCAATTGTATCTCCCAAGTGACAGGAACTTTTCTTCCGGATGATGTGAACCTCGCAATTCAATTTTGAATTTGAAAATTTGCTAAGAAAAAGGAAAAATCTTTTAAAGACTTAACATTAAAAAAATAAAAAAATAAAAAAATATTAATAATAACAAAAATGAATTGTCACAATTCCAGGAAGAATCCAAAAGAAATAAAAATATGCTTGATTCAGTTTTACAAAAATTAAAAATAAGAAAATTATGTAAAAATTTATTTGATTGACAGTTTTAAAAAAAAAATTAAAAAATTCAGTTAAAAATAGATATATATTCAAATACTCCGTTTTGTGTTTTCTGTTTTAAGGGGGAATTTTTTTCATAAATTCTTATTTCACATTTCATGAAAATTGTCATATGAAGACAAAATTTTAAAAATAAATAAATAAAATAAATCAACAATTGTTTTCTATTTTAAATACTCCGTTTGTGACCTAGCTTTCCTTTTCCCCTTTCTTCTTAATCAGTTCGTGAAGTTCTCAACTAGGCATCTAGGTCTAGCGAAACACGTAAGGTTCCACCAGAGAATACTCGAATTTGGACCGAGACCCATTGAAATTCTCACCTGAACTTCAATGGCAGAACAAAAACCCATGCCAACAAAGTCCGTTTCAGGTACAATTTCATATTCATTTCTCTCCACTCCTCTTATATACCACACCAATTGATTCTCTCAGTTTGTCATGTGATTCTGCAGACAATCCTTTTTATGGGTTTTGTGAAATTAAAGATTCATTTTTGTTTATTATGATTCTCTCAGCTTATAATTTTGATTCTGTAGAGTTGTTCAAAGGTTGTTTTTAAAAAGTTGATGTGAATTATGGTCTTTGCCCAAAAATGATATTTACATATGGGTAATCTTTATTAGATGGCAATACTTTCTTTCTCTTGAGATTCTATTACACTTCCATAGTTTGCCCTTTTTTGACAATTCCGAGTTTTTGTTCCATTTAGTAAATTAATTACAGTTTATGTTTCAATTCAACCCAAAAATATTCTAACTGAGCATGCTGTGTTGCACATATTATTACTTACAAATGGTTTCATGAACCAATGATTTACTTTTTATCTGAGATAGTTCTGTACTTTAGTTATGTAGTGAAGGTTCAAAAACAAGTTCAATTCTTTTGATATATATGCTTCCATTTTGTTTTTGAATATAGAAGAGAAAGTTAAAAGTGGTAAGGAAGAGATTGCGGCGGTATTCCACTCTGAGAAACCACCTAGTCATCACAAGGAAACACATGGGACAAGTGATGACATTGATGAGAAAATCCCGATTGATGAATTCAAAGGCCCAACTGTGTTTGAACGAGTGAAGGAGGAGATTGAGGCCGTGGTTGAAGCTATTATTCACCCTAAGAAATAATCCACCGGTCAGTTTGTAAATTGTCTTCAAAGTTGAGAGAGTCGGTCGAGTCTTTCTTCCAAGAAGGTTCAAGAAAAACTTGTTTCCTTTGGGATAACATAGGAGATCCTAGTGATGAACTTTTGTTGCTTTGGTAAGTAAGTTTGGTTCTATGTAAACTTATTGGATGAATTGGAATATGATACAACCTATTTGATTTTTCGGTCTTTGAGACATGGGAGTATGTTTGATTTATCAATTGTGCCTCTTTTGAGACATGGAATTTTTTTCTTTCCTTTCTTTCATGATGCAAAATTATTTGATTGGTGTTATCAAACAAACCTCGTTGAATCTGTCATAGTCATTATCATGAAGTCAATTATGAATGCTAGTTCTTGTTGGAAGTGTTTGAGATGGGTTGATATTGACTACAAGCAAATTCATTTTCTAATCTCTGCCAAGCCACAGGCACTGCTACTTTAGCATTTTAACACACACAACACATTCTAGCATGGCTTTTGTACGTGTCTCTGTATTGTTCCCTATGTTGTATCAACCAAACATGTTAGTCGTATCAGCACTGATACTTGTGTATAATAATCACTCTTATTGGTCAAAACGACATTTACCCATGAAGAGAGAATTTTCTTCAGTCTTGTCTTGTTTATTTTCAGTGGGAATGTTAGCATGAAGCTGTGGTACTTGACTTGTTGGGAACCATTTGACTACATACTGTAGTCACTACATATTGGCTTGAAGATTTTTTTGGTTCAAAAATCCGAATGAATTGATTGATGATAATATGGCTACGCAATATGGTTTTAGCCATATTGGTACCTTGATATGTATTCACATCGAGTGAGTTTGTTGTGGTTTACATAGCATTTGAACTGAGTCTGCATAATTTTTTTTGGTGGAATGTGGGCGATTCATTTTTCTTGTACATATCATCCATCTAAGGCTTGTTTTACTTGAAGTTGTACATGTCAGCAATTTAAGACGATGAACTGTTTGTTTTTGTTTTTGTTTTTGTTTTTGTTTTTGTTTCTAATTCTTTTTTCTGGTCATTTTTCTAGCATCTGTGGTGAGGGTTACCTATAATGGTTTCAACTTAAAGAACAGTATAGCTTCCCAGTGGTTATGTGTTTTACTTTGTCAAAGATCTGTATTGGTCATTGCTTTTAAAAGCTATCGAAAGCAACTGCTCCATGAAAAATTAAGTATAATGTTCAACGTGTTTGCGTGGAGAGGAAATTGTTGGTTTCTTTCGCAATGCAATATATAGTTAGATGGTCTGTTTTAATATTGGAGGATGCATTCCAACGTCTCACTTCTCTCTGAAAACTTGTGTTTTGAACATATGGGTTTTGGATGAACACCATCAAGTACCTGTTACCAACTTATCACCAGCAAGTGTAAAATATGCAAACTAATTATGAGCCCCAGGTTCGATGCAAGTGTGCACCTTGCTTTTAATGTACTAGACAACACTACTGTTCAATCAGAGAGCCATTCATATTGCAAATTGACATAAAATTTCATAATGGAAAACGGACACACTCGTTCGGAGAGTGAGTGTTCTCTTAATTAGGTCACTGAGTAATGTCTCTATTAACTTTATTGGACACACTCATTCGGAGAGTGAGCGTTCTCTCAATTAGGTCACTGGGTAATGTCTCTATCAACTTTATTGGACACGCTCGTTCGGAGAGTGAGTGTTCTCTCAATTAGGTCATTGGGTAATGTCTCTATCAACTTTATTGAATTTCATGATTAATGGCAAACCAAGTCGTGGCAAAATCATTTTTAATTAGGGCAAATTGCATAAAACCTTACAAGTTTTGACAACAACACACACACAAAAAAAAAAAAAAAAAAGGGAATTCAATTGTTGCTGAGTAATGTGTTATAATGATAAAAAAATGTCCTCTTAATATAAATTTTTAAAAAATTAGGTTTTCTATAAAATGATTTTCATTTCAGATTTTCTTTCATTTTTAATTTTGAAAAAACAAAAATTTAAGAAAATTTTAAATTTTATTCCAAAGTATTTTCATTTTCTTATAGAGGCATCACCGATTTTATTTTTATTTTTTATTTTTTAATTTTTTTTTTAAGAAACAATTTTTAACAACACTGCTAAATGAGATATTAAAATTAATTTTAGTTTTATATTAAATGGCACCATTTTCGAAATTTATATTAAGGGCATTTTTATCGCAATAACATTTACTTTGCAACAATTTAGGGGGTTTTAGGTCAAATTTTTTTAGAGGGAGGTTTTGTGCCAAGAAATGATAGTGGTGCAATTTGCCCTTTTCAATTACAAATACAATAAAGTAAGTTTCCACAAAATGTCAAATCCTCACCAAATAATTAAAGCATTTTGGAAAATGCATTAAAGATTATTTTAAGTTTGGAAAATGCATTTTATTGTGTATCATGAACATGTGAGTGGTAGATTGTACTGTGAGGAACTTTTAAAACTTTAATTAGGAGGGAATAGGATCCTCTAAGTTAAAATCTCTTTACATTATCTTAAATTGAATTGTTGTAATTTTAACACGTGCCATTTCACTTAAATCTAGGGCCCACAATGCTCTACATAATTTAGTAATAAAAAAGGCTAGAAAGGACAATGTTTTGAGGAAGAAAAATACATTTAAAAAAAAATTACATTTTTTTTAAAAAATTCACTATTTAAAAAGAAACCTATTCCTTCCCAAAAATTGTAGAGCCAAAAAAAAAAAAAAATGATATCCTAGTCCATGACATATGGGAACTTTATAAAAAAAATGATATGTTTTTATTTTATTATTATTATTATTATTATTTTGGATTTAGAATTTTTGGTAAGAAATAGGTTCCTTTTAAATAGTTGATTTTTTGGATTTTTGTTTTTTTTTTTTTTTTTTTTTTTACTCTACAATTTTTGGGAGGAATAGGTTTCTTTTTAAATACCCAAAAATGATAATGTAGAGAGATTTTTTTTTTTTTTTTGGCTCTACAATTTTTGGGTATTTAAAAAGAAACCTATTCCTCCCAAAAATTGTAGAGTAAAAAAAAAAAAAATCAACTATTTAAAAGGAACCTATTTCTTACCAAAAATTCTAAATCCAAAAAAATAAAAATAAAAACATATCATTTTTTTTATAAAGTTCCCATATGTCATGGACTAGGATATCAATTTTTTTTTTTTTTTTTTTTTTTTTTTTTGGGCTCTACAATTTTTGGGAAGGAATAGGTTTCTTTTTAAATAGTGAATTTTTTTTTAAATGTATTTTTCTTCCTCAAAACATTGTCGTTTCTAACCTTTTTTATTACTAAATTATGTGGAGCATTGTGGGCCCTGGATTTAGGTGAAATGGCACGTGTTAAAATTACAACAATTCAACTTAGAATAATGCAGAGAGATTTTAACTTAGAGGATCCTATTCCAGTTAGGAGAACCACTTTGCTGCAAAAGTGATTCTAACCACACTTTTGGACTTCTCTAATTATCTTATTAATTACTGCTCCAAACATAAAACACTTTGTCAAATTGGCACTGTTGAATTGCTGATAGAAACATTAAATCTTCTTTGAAATATTCAGCCAAAAAAAAAACTTTGGGATTTTTTTTTAGTAACTATTAAGTTTGAGAGGAGAAGAGCGTCTCTAGTGTTGTAATTGGCTTTTTGTGCTTCCTTTTGGCCACAGCGGCTGAACATTTGATGAACCCCTTCCCCAAGCAATTCATTAGTTGCAACTAACATTGAGTTGGTTTATTATTATTCTCTTATTAATTTATTTTCAAATTTTGTGAGGCTAGGCATTAGTTTAATTTCACTTCTTACGAGTTGACTCGTTTATATTGAAATGTGAATCTTTACAATTCCTTGTACCGAACACTTTTTGCCATTTCACTTTATAAGAGACTAAAAATTGATCATGTTTCCGTTAAAACGTGGATCTTGTCGTTTGTTCTGTAATTAACACTTTTTACTATTTCACTTCTTCATAATTGACTTCATTTGTTTTAAAAAAGTGAATCTTGTTCGTTTGCTTTTAACAAACACTTTTATCATTTCACTTCCCAAGAGTTGAACTAGTTTAATTTAGAATGGTTTCTTGTAATGAACACTTTTTTCGTAATTGATTCAAGGACATATAATTGTCATATTGTATTACCCTATGGTATAGCTGTAATATGATTTGGTGAGTGATTAAAAATTAGTAACTACTCTTTTTGTATTATTTAAGGGGTGCATTCCGCTATCAATCTAATTGGATTTCAGGCAAGCCTAGTGGAGGCTAAATCATTTGTAAATTAATTAAAGCCTTTAATCTTTGTATTCTATTGTGTTGTATAATTGTTGGTTTGTTTTGTATTTTATTTGGTTTTAAATTATAGATTCCGCAAAGCACTTCTAACCTAAGTAGTACGTCATTCCAAATTCCAATCCATGATCCGTATTTGTCGCACATCTCAACTCCTTAGCTGCAGATTTTTTGTCTTATTACTACATTCAACTTCCACATTCCACACCTTTTAGTTTGAGGAGAACCAGTTTGCTGCAAGAGTGACTCTAGCCTTTTGTGCTTCCCTTTGGTGTTTTTGGCCGCAACAGCTGAACAGTTTGATTGAACCCTTTCCTATTCGGTAGAAAGGAAGAAAGTAAGAGATGTAAGGAGAAAATAATAAGAAAGGGATAAATTTTCTTTTTGTCGATAGAGATGAAATAAGAAAAGGAAAAATAAATTTTCATAAATAAGTGAATTATTGTAGAAGTTTTAAATTAAATACTATCATAATTTATACAAATTTTAAATTATATTAATATTCTCTATAAATTATATTATTATAAATATTATTGAATATAATGGTAAAAATAATTAAAATTTTCTCTTTCCATTTCTATTCAACCAAACAAAAAGAAGAAAGTACATAATATATTTTCTAGTAATGTCTAGCTTCATCGGCCCTCGATCAGAAATCCAATAAAGTCTTCTTCAATCTTGAAGATTTGAAGAACATTTAACTACTGGTTGAAGATCAAGCTTCTATAATCCTTGCACCAACTTTTAAAAAAAATTTAATCAGAAGAAGATCTTATGTTGTAATGGAATCGATTACAGAGAATTGTACCTATTTTTTAAAAATTAATAAAATTAATTATTTATCTTCTCTCCCTTTCATCTAATAGTTTTTCTTCACTCCTACCCAACATAACATAAATACTTTATCTTATTGCACCAAACATTGGGTTGATTCTAGTTTGAAATAGGGTATTTAATCTCACTTTTCGAGGAGTTGACTTCGTTTATCTTAAAATGTGGATCTTGTCATTAGTTTGTAAGGAATATCTTTTGCCAATGAATGAATAATTGGTTAGAATGGTCTTATACTTGGCTAATTGTATTTTCCTGTATAACTCTAATATGATTTGACGAATGATTAGATAGATATTAGGGAAAATTACATATAAATGGAGTCAAAGTTCCATATTTACTTAGAGACTGAGTCAAAGTTTCATATTTCTCTAAAATGGATTGCTGAGGTGGCACATGGTTTTTTACTGTTTAAAAAATTGTGGTGCCTAAAATGCCCTTCCCTAACAAAAAAGTAGTACCTTCAGTTCAAAAAAGTAGTACCTTCGGAGAAAAAGTAGTACCTTCGCGGGTGTTTAAAAAACATGGTACCTGGACGCCAAAAAGTAGTACCTTCAGTTCAAAAAAGTAGTACCTTCGCGGAAGGGCATTTTAGGCACCACAATTTCTAAACAGTAAAAAACCATGTGCCACCTTAGCAATCCATTTTAGAGAAATATGGAACTTTGATTTAGCCTCTAAGTAAATATGGAACTTTAACTCCATTTATATGTAATTTTCCCTAGATATTAACTCTTTGTTTTAAAAAGTCATTTTGCTATCAATCTGACTGGATTTCACATGAAATGGCAAGCCTAGTGGAGGCTACAACATTTTTAATTACAATAGATTACACGTTTTCACGAAATAACAAATCCTCACCAAATAATTAGAACCTTTAAAACTTTGTGTGTGTGTGTGTATACACTTTAATACTAATATTTTTTTAGAAAAATGATTATTACAAAGAATAATTGAAGTGAATTGTTAGACGTAGTCAATTATACAATAAATAAATAAATAATTATATTTAATATAAATAATTAATTAAAAATCATTCGTTTAAGCAATGCAGTATAAGTTTTCAGGGTAAGTATCAATATTATGTTGTATAATTGTTAGATTTAGTGTGAAGCGATCTGGGTGAACACACATAATAAGCATCGTATTCCATCATCCAGTGGGTCAACGTGACATTTAAGAAGTTGTAGCTGGCAAAAATGTCTTTTACTTATATGGTTTTATTTAAAAACCAAACTTGACACCTCACGTGGAAAGATTCTTTGGTACGCTTTCCTTCGTCCCCAAAATTTTCAGAATGGTTCGAGTGTGTTAAGGTTGTTACCTATATATATATATGGGTCATGGCATTGTTCCACTTACTACTACAACCTTGTACCATTCCCCAATATTGCTTTTCTTTCTATCCACTCCAACCACTTACAAAAAAATGGCAGACGCACTTCTTTCCGATGTCGTGAATGGAATTGTGAAGAAGTTGGGGTCTGCTGCTCTCCAAGAGATTCAATTGGCGTTTAATCTCGAAACTGACTCTCGGAATATGGAGAACACCATTTCCACAGTCAAAGCGCTACTTGTCGATGCGGAGCAGCAGCAGCTCGTCACAAACAATCAGGATAGTGAGTGGCTGGAAAAGCTCAAAGACGTCGTTGATGATGCCGATGAGTTGCTGGATGACTTCTCAACAGAAGGTTTGCGGCGGAAGGTGATGACTTTCAACAAAAAAAGCCAAGAAGGTACGAATTTTCTTTTCAAGGTCAAACCAGCTTTTTTTCCGTCTTAAGATGAGTCATAAAGTAAAGGGCATTCGTGAGAGACTAGCTGCCATAGCTGAAACTAAGATCAATTTTCACTTGAGTGTTGAAAGGCCTTTAGATATGCAAGTTCGGATGAGGAAGAGGGAGGATAGTCACTCTTTTGTGCGAGCTGAAGAAGTAATTGGGAGGGATGCTGATAAAAAGGCAATTGTAGATTTGTTGATGGACTACAACGTTCAAGAGAATGTGTCAGTCCTTGCAATTGTTGGAATCGGGGGGCTAGGAAAGACCGCACTTGCACAATTAGTCAATATTGATGAAAAGGTCACCAAACATTTTGAACTTAAAATGTGGGTGTGTGTTTCTGATGTCTTTGATGTGAAACAAGTTGCAGAAAAGACATAGAAAGTGCTACAAGTAATAAACCAGAAAATCTTAGCATAGATGGGGTGCAAAAGAAACTTAGGGAAATTATTGATGGAAAGAAATATTTGCTTGTGTTAGATGATGTCTGGATCGAAAATCGTGACAGATGGCTAGAATTGAGAGACCTGTTGATGGATGGCGCAAGGGGAAGTAGAATTTTAGTAACTACACGCACTAATTTAGTTGCATCTGTTGTAGGAGCACATCCACAGTATTCTCTAACAGGCTTGTCTAACGAAGAGTCTTGGACACTATTTAAGCAAATGGCATTTGGAAAACAGGAGGAGCCAGAGAATAAACGCATAGTAGCAATCGGGAAGGAAATTCTAAAGAAGTGTGCCGGAGTTCCTCTTGCTATAAGGACATTAGGAAGCCTATTATGCGGCATAGATACCGAGAATGAGTGGTTGATTTTCAAACATCAAAATATGTCAAAAATAGTTCAAGATGATAATGGTATCCTACCAATATTGAGGTTGAGCTATAACCATCTTCCCACACATCTAAAACAATGCTTCGCATTTTGTTCCTCCTATCCCAAGGATCACAACATTGTTACACAACAATTGATCCAACTGTGGATGGCTCATGGATTTATCCAATTGTCAGATGGTAATCAAAATCTTGAGGACGTTCGTATTTTATGAATTTATTGAGGAGGTCATTTTTTCAAGATGTAGAAAGAGATGACATTGGAAATATAATAAGTTGTAAAATGCATGATCTTATGCATGATGTTGCGCAATTAGTTGCAGGGGTTGACATCTCCATTGTTGATTTAGATGGAAAAGGTGTTTCTCCAAAAATCCGTCACGTGTCGTTTGATTCATCCATTGATAAAGATTTATCATGGGAAATTCCAGACCCCTTGCTTAGGGCTACCAAGATAAAAACACTTTTTATGCCGAATGCTAAATACAGACAGGAGAAATCGGTTTTTGAAAGGGTTGTTTGTACTTTTAAGAGGTTACGCGTGTTGGATATGAGTAGCTCAGGGATGCATACAGTTCCAAGTGGCATAAGTGAGCTAAGGCACTTAAGGTACCTTGATCTTTCTTTTAACTATCTAAGTTGTCTGCCAAATTCCATTACCAAGTTGCAAAATTTGCAAACCCTAAAACTCACTTATTCTAATTTCAAAGAATTGCCGAGAGATGCTAGAAATTTGGTGAGCCTTAGGCATCTTGACCTTGATAATTGCAATGATTTGACTGATATGCCCCGTGGATTTGGACAACTGACTTCTCTTCGAACATTGACCCGGTTCATCGTGGGTACATGCAGCACTTTAAGTGAATTAAAAGATTTAAACAATTTACGGGGACAGTTAGAGATTGACTTTCAGTTAGAGATTGGACTCCCAGAGGGGCAACCGCGGAGAACATCGAAAGAAGCAGAGGAAGCGAACTTGAAGGGGAAAGAATATCTTCAATCTTTGATATTAGGTTTTGGCTGTTACTCTGATAATAAGAAGGGGGGGTTAGAAGAGTTATTGTTGGAAGGTCTCCGGCCACATGAAACTCTGAAGAAGCTATTTATAAAAGGGTATGGGGGTGTGAGATTACCAACATGGATGTCCTTCCTCCGAAATCTTGTTGAAATGAAATTATATTATTGTAATGGATGCAAACATCTTCCAAAAATCGAGCAGCTTCCTTTTCTCCGAACTCTTCATCTGGAATCTTTAGATTCCATAGAGTACATAGATGACAACTACAGCTGTAGTACAAGTACTGGGGGTGGTAATGAAGATGAGGAGTCCTTAATCTCTTCTTCTTTTCCATCGTCATCATTGTCAACAACAACATTCTTTCCATCACTGAAATATCTCCAACTGGAGAAGATGTATAATTTGAAGGGATGGTGGAGGAGCAAAGTAGCAGCAGAAGAAGATGAACAAGAACAATCAACGGTAAACATTAATCAAGAAGAGCAGCAACTGTCACTACTACCATCATTTCCTTGTCTTGTTGAATCACAGATGAAAAGATGCCCAAAGCTAGCATCAATGCCTCTGCAACCCGTTGTTGTAAAACTACAATTCTGGCAAGTCAACGAGAAGGTAGTACGACAGCAGTTTTCACTCGTTACCTTTTCCAACTTAGAGGATCTAAAAATATGTGACATCGAGGATCTAGTTAATCTGCCGGAGGAGGCATTCCAACATCTCACTTCCCTACGGAAACTAAAGATTTGTAATTGTCACAGCCTAACCTCTCTGTCCAGAGGGATGCGACATCTCACCGCCCTCCACTCTCTGGAATTCTACCACTTCCAAGAGCTTGACTTGTCAGATGGTGATGATAATGGCATGCATTTTCAAGGCCTTACAAACCTAACTTCTCTGCATATTCAAGGCATCCCCAAGTTGGAGTCTCTTCCTGCTGGGCTTCAACACATTGCCACTCTACAATCTCTATCCATTTCAGAATGTTACAATCTGAAAAGTTTACCAGAGTGGATAGGCAATCACACATCACTTCAACATCTTTCCATTTATATGTCCGACAAATTGACATCATTGCCCGAAGGGATGCGTCGTCTCACAGCATTACAACAACTGAAAATTGAATTTTGTTCAACTGAGCTATATCATAGATGCCAAAAGGAAACGGGGGAAGATTGGCCTAAGATTGCTCACATCCCAAACGTTGACATATAGAAGGTATCCTTCTTAATCTGGCATTCTTGCTGCTTCTTGTTGCTCATTCCTCTCTTTGTTCAACTTTCTTCTGATTCTGTATGTGGTCCATACAAATACATAACTCAACATCAATGTTTCTGTACATTGTAATGTTTATCTTATCTAAGTTTGGTTTTAAAAAGGCGCATTTTGGGTCAATTTCTAGGTACCATAGCACGAAGCAGTGACCTACTACCCCTGCATTTTACAGATTGGAGGAAGTTACCGGATCGGTTTAAAGGGAGGTCTGGAAGATAGTCTTGGTATGAAGCATCTCGTAATTTCCTTTTATTTATATGATATTGGTAATGTTGACATTGATTGTAATTTGTTTGCATTTGTGGTAGGAAAAGTTTATCATTCCAGAGTACGCTAATTAATGAGTACTGAAATCAACTGGTAGGAAGTGGAGGAACTTTAAGTCTAACTTGAAGAAGAAGCATTACAAGACACGTGGCTAATGAGGAGCGACTGGCAGATCGTGATGATCGAGTCCAGCCAGAGCAGTGGTATTACCTACTTCGATTTTGGAACTCAAACAAAGGACAGGTATGTAAGGTGAACTGAAATTTATTAAATTAAACTTATAATCTTTAATATTGTTTTAGTGTCCTTAGTTTGCTTTACACCGAATTTTATCTCCTTTTTATGGCTGTTGGAGTGATAGCAAAGTAAGCACGCTTTAGGGCATCCCCTTTTCCTCTTTTAATCTTTATTCCTGTTTCGTAATGAGAAATCTAGTGACTGTTCTAAATAGCCAAAGAAAGACTGAGGAATCAAGTTAATCAATTGTGAGAGGACATTTTATAGTACTTTTAGTGCACATTAAATGCTTATTAATTAGTCTGTTAATCCCAATAATGTTTACACTGCTAGACCTCCCAATGGATGCACCAGTTTATATAGTCTCACTAATTTATCACCCTTGCTCTCATCATATCAGATTTACATACATCCTCAAGTTATAGGATTAGCTATAGCATTCTGATGATCAACTTGATCATGTGCCTATCAAGAAAGGTTAGTATATTCTGTCCATTAATTCTCAGTGTACGTCCATACATTTGATGATTCCATTAGTCATTTGTTTGAAAAACTGATCAAGAAATTCTTGATAATCTCTAAAGCGCAAGTATAATGGGAGATCATTAAAATAAAAGCAAATAATGATGATTCTTGGGGATAACAGGCTGATGTTTATGGTCAGTATTATTTTTATGTTCTCTGTTTATAGTAGAGTAAATGTTTGATGGTTCTCTTATCTTTCTTTCAGCAATGCTTTAATATGTTTTTCTTGTTTTTAGGAGCATAGCATTATTAATACTGCCAATCGTTCTAAGGAAAAAAATACCCACATAGCAGGGTCAAAATGATTTGCATGAATACACGAGGAGGAGGTAAGCTATTTTGTTCATTATGCTTATGTGATAATATTTTGGAAGTCTGAGTTCCAAATAAATTTTCTGGACTTTAGTGTTATTTTCTATCCAAGGCCAGCGTAAGAAGAGGCCTAATGGACACGAACCAACCTAGGCAGATGTGTATATACTGACTCACACACGGAAAAATAGACGACCAATGAATGAAGCATCTGCATAAATTATTGTAAGCTATTGTTAAATCGTGCCTAGCTCTTGAATCAGTTGAATGGACTGTTCTATTGATCAAATTGTTGCTGCTGTAATGTTGATGTTTCTGATTTTTGTGGAATCTGTCTTGGCTGCTTTGCTCCTGATGTTCTTTTGTCACCTTTATCTCATTGTTGCTGCTATACTTCCCAATGATTTTGTTGTGTTCAATTGTATAGCTGGACTCTGTTCTAGCTGTATAGCTTGAAAACTCATAGGATTCCACTGCTGAAGTTTTTATGTTTGCTCTCTTGAACTGCTTGGCTAAATCAGCACCACCACGTACGCCTCCTTTTGGAAGGGATTATCAGTCAGTTGATAAAAAAATGTGTTTATAGCCACACTAATGAATCATCTAGACCTTAAATCACATATTATTGGCAGCTTAATTCCATGTCTTAAACTTAATATTCATAAGCAAAGCTCATTGGACTTAGTTTGGGATATTATGAGTTTTCATAAGCTGTAACCTGACATTGTTTGGAACAATGAGCAGATATTATAATAGGTATGTTCTATGAACTTGTTGAAACACTTGATGCACATGCTTATTTCGTTTCACAATATTGTAATGCTCTCATATATTTACTGACATTGCCTAATAGAGGTTCAACTTTATAATTAATTCATTTCAAAAAGTATTGCTCAATAGATATTTTCAGTACTAAAATTATGTGTTAATGGCAATGGTCTTTCTTTGTAATGCGCTCTTTTTTGAGAATACAATGTTGACTGGTTAGTCTGGTTGATGCATTTAATTAACCATTACAATATTCCTGACATGTTTTAGGTTTATCTCGAATTTTTGTTATTAACTCAAATATTTGTTTTGTTTTTATAGGGCATGAGTGAAGTTTTTTTTGTCAAGTCTCAAAAAGACCGATGTCATAGTAGCCCGAGGAATTATTTTGAGAAAGCCCTGCGTACAAAAGTAAGGGACATTGAATTTGGACCTCATAATTGGGAAGCAAGTGTTACCATGCCAATCTTGCGTGAAGAACCGTTACGTCTAGCCTTTCTACGCGATTCAAAACTATTGGAGATACAGCTGGGGCTAGTGTTTCTCGGCCTTCTGCTTATGTAAGTATAACATTAAGTTATCTCCTTTTAGTAAAAAAATGAATGAATAAGAATTTTCTTGCTAAATGTGGTATCATAATTGGGAGCAGAGGGGCTGAACCGCAAACCAATTGCAGATTGCTATAACAGTGGACATGAATTTTTGATTGGTTTTGTATGCTCAATTGTTGCTTCTTTTTGGGAGAAATTAATTGTTGCAGCTTGTTTTTGGGTTCATCATTATACAATTTCCACATAAATAATTTGATCTCTGCAAACAAACCCTTTACACTGTCTCACTGATCACAATGAATTGTACACAACATCAAGATTTAATAAGACTGCACCAGTTTCAGGCCCTACTCAAACGGTAAAGGTCACATTAATCTGATAGCTAGCAAGCATTTAATATGTGAAAGACCTATTAATGTTTGGGACTTAATTGATGCATAATTGTTGCTTGTATTCATTCAAAGAAGTCATTTTAATCCCTTTTTTTTCCTTATTTTCTTTGTCTAATTGATATAAACCATACAATATTTTGAGCTATATATATATCCCCTGTTGCAAATTCAAACACTGAATGCAAGTCAACCAGCTTGAACGAAGATATGTACCATGGGTGCTTGTTAATACTACACCAGTTGGAGTAGTTGGTCTCGTCTATTGTTCTGTTAGTTTGGTTCTTGTGGGTGGTTGTTCACCCATTCTCTTATACGGAGTAATATATTTCTCTATTAATTAATTATTTTACTTGGGAATATAAAATGTTGGTATAATAGTTGTTGGTTTCTAATTTGCTAATGTTTTATCTCAGGTTGGACGGGAAGAATGATAATAATTGAAAGATATCGAGAATGTTATGACATGGGGTCTCTCTTTTTTTTACGATTTGATGCAAATTCTCAAGATTTGAGCCATTATAAAAAATCTTCTTTTTGTTTTTTTTTGGGCCTGTTTTTGAGACAGCTACACTATATCAAATTTCATTATTGCACTGTAATTCATTTTTTTTTTTTTTTTTGGTGTTACTTTGATTTGATTGGGTTTATCTTGATGGTAATTTTTGTTTATGAATGGACTTGATGTTTGATTACAAGATATTGAATTTTTCTTCAATTTGCTTCATTTAAATAGGTCAATGTTTGGCAATGCCTTGAATAGTTGCTACAAATATTGCAAATATAAAACATACACATTGCTGTAACCTACACCAAAAAAAAAATAATAATAATAAAATTATTTTGCAGTAGTTATGTAACTTATGTTTGTTGCCAAAGAGTGTATTTTCTTCATATGTTGCAGCATAATTGCTGTCTTTTGTTCAAAATTATTGTAGAGCTTAAAATTGATGTCATATCCCGAAATTCTATTGCGCCGCTAGCTTGCGTTTCGTACTCATCAAATGCCCTTCTTCCCTCGACTTTGAAGGAGCTTGGTATCTCTCTGTTTTTAACTGCCATGGCAAATTTTTGACTGTCGTGTGACCATTGCTAGAAAGTTATGGCAGATTTTTTTTTTTTTCTTTTTTTTTTTTAACTTTTAAGGCTCCATTTTCTTTATTTTTTGGTGTTTGATTATTTTAAAATATTTATGAAAAAATAAAAAAATAAAACTTAATAGAAATAACCTATACATTAATTTGTGACTATCATTTTAGCGAATGTAAAATTTTTCTGAGATTCTTTGTCATTATAGCATTTCAAAATGAGATTGGTTAACCTCTTGGCAAATGACCTAAGCATTCAAGTATGTAAATTACTCATTCCACACTTGGTATGATATTGTATTATTATGTTTTACCTAACACCATCACATATAAGTATTTTATATTTAAATTACCCATTCCACACGTGATATGATATTGTATTAAATTACTCATGTGCACCGATGGCTCGTCCACCCATGACCTATGGTTGGGTCAGGTTTTTATACCATTTGTAACAATTCACTCTATTACATGGTATGATTTTGTCTGCTTTGGACCGAGCCTGCATAGTTTTGTTCTTGAATTTTATCCCAAAATGTCTCATACCAATTAAAGACACAACCACATACAGGGGCGGAGTGAATCAATAACACCCTCTGAATTTAATTTTCGGTTCCGCCTCTGTATGTGGTTTTGTTATCTCTAATTGGTATGAGTCATTTTGGGATAAAATTCAAGAACAAAATTACGCGGGCTCAGTCCAAAGCGTACAAAATCATACCATGTGATAATCACGATAATAAATATAGATTCTATAAATTAAGAGACAAAAAAGAAAAATTACTCAAAATAATATGTTAATCAATGAGTAATTTAAGAAAGATAAATAATTAACAAAAAAAAAATTAAAAAGGAAAGACAAATGAGAGAATTTTGAAAGGAAAAAAATTGGAGTTTGATTCAAAAAGAAAATTTTGACTTTTTTTTAAAGGAAATTAAACGAATTTAAAGAGTAAAAAAGAGATAAAATATAAAATTTAAGAGATAAAATTAGATAATAAAAATTTTAGGGGGGGGCAGTATATGAATTTTTCATATATACGTGTAAAAATATATAAATTTAGTATATGTATTATAGTAAGCGGGTCAAATATATAAACATATAGCATATGTTTATATCCGCCACTGATCACATATAAGTATTTCACATTCCTCTTACCTATACGATGTGAAATTATGCAACTATGACTCTCCCAATATAGTAGTTTATATGTAGTAGCCCAAAAGTCACCATGCTAACCCAACATTTAACAAACTAGATGAAGTCTATTAATGGAACAAATCGAAGATGCCCTTTTATGAATCCCTTTGAAAATTTAAATATCCACTACTAGAAAAATAAGGTATTTATCTCCATTTCAATAAACTTTTATTTTGAAAAATGAGTCTTGTAAAGTTAAAAATGAATGAGTTTTAGATAGGGTAAAGTGCAAAAAAATTCCCTGAACTATGTTCGAATTTGTAAATAACCCGCTTGAAGTATATTTTGTGCATAATATCTCTTAATTTATCACATTTTATTGTAAAATGCCCCAATGCCTAAACTATTTTTCATTAAATGACCATAATACTCTTTCTTATTGAATTATACTTAATCTCTTTTTCTTATTTAAATGTATTATGAAAAAAATCACACTATAAATTTGCATAAATTAACCTTTAAGTTTTGAAATTAATTGTTTAAATAAAAAATTTAAGTAGAAAATTTTAGGATTAAGTGCAAAAAACACCCCTCAAGTATACTTACAGGGCATATCATACCTCTCCCATGCAAAAAACACCCCCCCAAGTTTCAATTTGATGCAATCAAGTCTCTTGGCACATTTAAAACCAAAGTTGACTAAAGTACCCTTAGTCAACAATTTTATAAAATATATAAAAATACAAAAATTTGTAAAAAGACCATAAAGGACAATAAATAGTGATGCACACCCATTCTGCAATTCGGTCCTACGAAGCCACAAGCACCACCGGCCGCCGTGGCTCCACTATGGCAACTCCAATTTCTGGAATCGGTGATACAGGCGGCCGGATCATAAGCAAGCCAAATCGCAAAATTCTCAACAAATATGTATTGATTTGCAAAATTCTCACCAAATCTTAATAGAATTCTCAACCCCAGATCACAAGCAACCCAATCATAAGAATTGATTTGCAAAATCCAATCAAAAGCGAACCCAATTGAAGTGTCAAAGGATTTAGCAAAGTTCAACGACAAAATCAAGATTGAAGTGTCCAAGGATTTTTTGGCACCTTCCGTTTTCACCTCCGACAGTCCCAATCGCCGGCTTCGGCGAGAGCCAGAAACCACATCATCGGAAACACCAGTAAGCAAAAACGGTGGAACGACGGTGACAAAATGGACCGGCTGTGACCTTATGTCGCAGCACCGGCGGGCAAAGAGAAGCTCGACTGTGAGCTTATTAGCTGTGAGCAACGGCGAGCTCGGCATTGATGATGGAGGCGGTGGCGAGCTCGGCTTTGATGGAGCGATTGCAGAGAGGACAGACGATGGTAAAAATGGTGAGAAGACAGGCTCGGTTATGGAAAGCTCGGCCGTGGATGACTCAGTGGCAAGCTCGGCCAGTGGAATCTGCAACCAACGAGTAAGGGATGGCTCGGCGATGCAGCGGCGGTGACGGCATACGGGCTGTGGAAAACGGTAGGCGACGGCTGTGGAGAGCTTGGATTAAGTTTTACACAGGTTGTAAGATTGATTGGTGTGAATTCCCTTCTTTTTCGGTTATCCTAGCACATGCATGAACTAGTTTGCCATTTTGTTACTGCTTCGAATAATTTAGGAAAAAGACCGGCCATGATGATACTTTGTTTCTATAGTTGCAGTGCGGGGTGTAATGTTTATATATATATAAAGTTAAATAAATATTTATTTACTTACCTGTGGGGCCCACATGAGTTTTTAGTCAATGTAAATGACTTAAGAGTCATTACACAGACCATTTTGTCTTTTTCTCTCTCTCTGCGTCCAGTCCCTCTCGGCAATTTCATTTTTTTTCTCTTTTTGCAACTTCAAACCTTGATCTAGCTTTTTCCTTTGGGAATTTGGTAGAACATTATGAAGCAAAGTTGTTGAGCTCGTTGAGGTCGTCAATTTAATAGGAGCCAATCATCATTTGGTGCACTCTAGGGAGTTCGAAATTTTAGGGTTCCACAAATTGGGGGTTTTCATCAATTTGAGGTAGGGGTATTCTAATCTACAATTTCTTGGCCTTTTGTGAATTTTTCCCCTTAAAATTGATCCTAAACATGCTAAATTTTCATTACCTATCTTGTTGTTGTTGTAGTTATGTGTAATCATATACATGTCTATTTTCATTGCGATAAATGAGCATGCTTAATGTTTGATATGTTGTATGTTCTATGATTATTTATTTATTTATTTATTGTCTTAAAAAGAAATGGATGCTATGGTTATAAATAAATAAATTAAATTAAATTAAATAAATGTTTAGAAATTATTATTGAATTGTGATGATGATGTAAATGGAATGTGTGAAAACCTATAGTTGAATTGATAAATTGAAACACACACATTCATGCATTCATTGGGAAAGAGAAATGAGGAAAAATATATTTTTTTAGAACAAACGAAATTATTTTGGGGAAAATATTTTCTAAAAGTGTTGCGAAAACCGGACACCTAGGAGGCGCCTAGTGGTCCGTAATGTTGGTGTAGTCTAAAAGGGAATGTAGTTGAGTTAACTAGGTCGGATGCGACGCCTTGGAGGTGCCTTGTGGTCGTGGATAGTTAATCAACCTTCCTTTCGTGACGCCTTGGAGGTGCCTTAAATCGGATTACACTAATGGTTTGGTTGTTGAAACGGAATTGTTTCGGAAATGGGGAGTGATATTTGCATAACATTGCACTTCATGATATTGTGGTAAAATTGTGATTGGTTGATATTTGTTACATACTTGTTATTGTGGTTGAGAATGTGCGTTTCCCTATGCCATGATCCCATTCACTTTTTATCTATTCATTGTATGAATTCACGGGGACATAAGAAGTGTGTCTTAGACACTTCCCACTGAGCTTATACTCACCCCATTATTTTTAACATTTTCAGGATATGAAAAAGAGGTGGAGGACGACGATCCACCACAAGTCTAGACAAGCTTGGGGTATCTATTTTATTTTTGCTATCTTTTATATTAGAATTCTAATATTTTATAAATGTAATATTAACTATCTTGTAAGACGTTAGTTTAATTAATATAATGTTGTAAGTTATGGACTTTTAAATTATAACTACATTTTTAGACTGTAAATTGATGTAACTAAAATGTGTCCCTTGTTTATATGAGATGGAGGAACGGGGATTTTTGTGTGTATGTAACCATTTTGGGAATGTAATATAATATCTGTATTGTGCGTTGGGACAGGATATGTTAAATTTAAGGCCCAGTGAGGCCATTACATTTATTTTTGTATTTCAACAGGTTCTAGAGGGATTTTTTCTGTGGAGGTCATGCCGAAATTTTTATAGATATTATTATTATTTTGGTATCTTTTCGGGTCATTACACCGGGTGACTCCCTTTGAAGGATGCATCTTGCCTTAAGGATGAGTTCCATTTGGTCGTTGCGAAGGTATGGGATCGACGTTGAATCAATTTGACTGTTGTGCAAGAAAATGAACCCTTGCTCTTTGAGGCAGCATAAGATAGCCTTCTAGAGTAGAGAGAGAATGATGGGTATTTTCGGAAGACTAAAAGGGCAAAATGGGTATTAGAGTAATAATTTATGTCAGATATCTGATAGAGGGTTAATTTTGTATAATTTCAAAAGATTAGCGGTGTTTATTGCACACTTTTATAAATAGGGAGTAAAAGTGCTACTAAGAGTATACTTGGGAGGTGTTTTCTGCACTTACCTCAAAATTTTAAAGCAATTTAAGTATTTTTAAAATTTTTCACGAATCTATTGCATGAAAAAGAATATATTTTTTATTTAATTAATGTAGTAATTTTTATTAATATATTATATGAAAAAGAAGGAATTTTTTTTTTACGGTAAAAGAATTTAAATTAAGTATAATAAGTTTTCTTATTAATAGTAAAGTTGCAATAATAAGTTAACCATATTATAATATGTAGTTACAAATCTATTTTTTTTTTTAATGATAAATTAATACTAAAAATAAAATTAAGATAAATAGTAAAATTAATATTTAGATAAGAGAAATACACTTTACTTATCAAAAAATATATATATATATATTTAGATAAGAGAAAAGATAATAAAAATAATTTAATAAAAAATAATAAATTTAATGAGAAATGATAAGATAGTCACTTATGCAAAATTTCAAGAAATTCCAAAGTTTTTAAAATGATGTTTTAAATAACTTTGTAAACCGAGAGAGAAAACAAATACAGAGTACTAATAATGTTTTCACTATTTATATTAACTTCAAGGGTAAAGTACAGCCACACCTCCTGAGGTTTGGCAAAAGGACACTAAAAGGAAACTTACCTGTTTTTTTGGACAAAGACACCCCTTTACATAAAAAATTGACCAAATTACCCTTTAATCCTTTAAGAGACTTTTAAAATTTTACAATTTAATAAATTGGACCAATCTACACTCATAAACAATTTATGCATAAAAAAAAAAAAAAAAAAATTATATTGTTCATTTTTTTTGTTATTTACTTTATAAATGTCCCAACTTCTTAAAAATGTAGAAGTCTAAAATGATTTTTTGATCCAATAAATATATTTCAAATAAATTATATTTTGTTATTACTTCTTTTCTTTTTCTTTTTTTATTTTTAAATTAAGATGCTTAATTCTTTCATCTAAAAAAATTAAACCAATCTCTTTTCCTTAACCACCTTTTTTTAAAATAAATAAGTATACTAGCATAAATAGGATGATGTGCCTCAAATCGAGCAGGTGAAAAGAAAATGAAAGAGGAAAAACACACACACACATAACATAAACCACCAGACAATTGCCAGAAACTGTTGATTTATTTATCTATTACAGAAGGTTGACTCCATTTTTATATTGAGCTGAAACTAATCCCTACTCACATACACAATATTATGCACCAGGTAACTCGGGAAATAGTTACACTTGAAATGTCTCAGATTGTTGATTTCTTTGAGGTTTCCAAGAAATTATTGATTTCCTCTAAAATTTTGTTGACAACTTTACTCTTGTACATGGAGGCAGTCAAGAAAAAGGAGGTAGAAGTACTTATTTAAAAAAAAGGTAGTTAAGGAAAAGAGATTGGTTTAATTTTTTTAGATGAAAGAATTAAGCTTCTTAATTTAAAAATAAAAAAGAAAAAAAAAGTAATAACAAAATATAATTAATTTGAAATATATGTATTGGGTCAAAAAATCATTTTAGACGTCTACATTTTTAAGAAGTTGAGACATTTATAAAGTAAATAAATAAAAAAAGAAGAAGTGAACAATATAAATTTTTTTTTTTTTTTAAAACTTTTTTTGTGCATAAATTGTTCATGAGGATAGATTGGTTTAATTTATTAAATTATAAAGTTAAAAAAGTCTCCTAAACGTTTAACATAATTTGGTCAATTTATCATGTAAAGAGGGTATTTTTATCCATTTTTAAGTTTTTTTTGGCTTAAAAAATAGATAAATTTTTTGTCAAATCTTGGAGCCGCGTGTGGCTGTACACCCGAACTTCAAATGGTTGGTTGCCCACACTACTATTGAAAAAAATATATATTATAATACATAAATTAATCCATATATTTATAATAATCACAAAAAGAAAAAGGGTATATTATACATAACCCCCCTGTACTAATTTTTTCGTTCAAAATCCCCCCACTAAAATTAAACACCCCCCTGAACTAACAAAACCCATCAAGTTGCCCCGAAATGACAAAATTGCCCTTCTAAGTTAATTGAAAATTTAAAACTTATAATATTATTGTAAGATTACAAAAATACCCTTGAGTTGGTCGGTCTTTTGTTCATCTCCATCTTCCTTTGATTTTAAGCACCAGAAACCCATATTCATCTCCATCTTCCTTTGATTTAGATTTAGAGCATTCTGATTGTAATTGTTGTTTGATCTGTTTTGTGTTGACTTGTTTGGTTGAAAAGAAAAATTGAACTCGGGGGAAATTTGTGTGAAAATATAGCATTGTGGGTAGTTTTATTCGCATAAAATTAGAGAGATTCTACAAACACATATATATACACTGGACTTGGTGTGTGAATTACATTCTTGCATATGTATGGGAAGAATTCTCCTTCGACACACTTAAACTCATCCGCACCGAATCAATCGGACACTACTCCTCGACCTCATCGGCGATTAGAGCCATATCCAACTCTCTCACTGACCAAATATCTGTTGCTATTGTCGACAACGACGTAATTCTGATCAACTAGATCTCGCCGTTCACTCTCAACTGCTGCGACGATCGCAGCGGCCATCACGACTCTCTCGGGCGGGGACCAGATGGCTTAACGACTTTCTCTCGGTCAATCTTTACCGGACGGTGTCGGAAGAGACCACAAGGACATACAGAGACTCATCTTCGAGTCCGCCGGTGCACATGAATTCCTAGTCGGCGACTTCGCAAGCTTCGAATTAGTGGCTCTAGTGGCTCTCGAGGTCGATTCTTCAGCGAAGCGTCAGCGATGTTCGCGACAACGTTCAGGGCATTCAGGTTTCCAATGATTCGATGATCGCCGTGGGGCTCACCTTGTTTCTTTCTTTTCTGGACCAATACGACATCGTCCTCTATCGACGAACCCATTTTAGAAACGCTGGCGATAAGAATTACCGGAATTTCAACCGGAATCGGTGAGTTGGGGTGTCCTTCGGTGGCGAATATTCAGGCGAAGACAGAATCTGATCAATTTGGGGTGTTTCTAGCTACTTACAAGAGGAGCAAACAGAGGGAAAATGTTGCCGGAGTCGCACAAGGAGGTCCAAATCAAAAATTTTACTTGACTGGGTTGGTGATTGTGGCAACGCCACCGTAGAAGGAAGTGTTCACAACAATACTTTGGTTCTTCTTGTTGCAACTCATCGAAGTCGGTGTCGACGGAGAGGACGATGGCGCCCTAATCGACGCCGTAGAGTCGAAGTTCAGTATGATCAAAGTCTGGGAATTTGATCTGTAAGGGAAGATACATCTGCACAATTTTGAAATTTAACCCAAAAAATAGAAATTAGATTTATAAGTTTTAAATTTATAATTAACTTGGAAGGGCAGTTTTGTCATTTTGGGACAACTTGATGGGTTTTGTTGGTTTAGATGTTTAATTTTAGTGGGGGCATTTTGAACGAAAAAATTAGTAAGGGGGGTTATGTGATTTTTCCCCAAAGAAAAATTACACATACTTCAACCGACCTCTTAAGTTCCAAATCAGAGCAGAAGTAATTCTCTGTTTTCAGCTTTCAGTCAGAGACTTGCATCAATGGCGAACTCTTCTATCCATGGAGTGAGTACTCTTCTCTCTCATATCTTCTATTTTTGCAAATTCCAATTTTCTAGAGCTTAAATTTCTGTAGATCTGCAATTTCCTACTTTTTCATATGCGTTCTTGATCTGTAATTCCCATGAAATCTTAGATCTTTTCCCTGATCTGACGTTTGTATGCCGAAAAAGTTTTAGGTAAACTAAACTAACATTTCGAATCTGGGTTTATCATTGTTTAAATCACGACAAAACAAAAGCCCTCTGTTGAGAACATGGTAAACAAGATTCACATAATTTTTTTAATTATTAATCTCTCATTTTTTTATTTGCAATTGTTCCTAGGATACATGATTTATAGATATATTCATGTTAGATCTGTATTATTTCATATGAAATGTCCGATATTTTGATTTGATGTTCAAACAAAAACAATGTGTTTGGGGAAATGGCTTCATTATTCACTTCTCTCTTCTCTACCTATCCACAAACACACAAACACATGTATTTACGCACCTATACTCGAGTATCCATATATGCATGTGTGAGCGCTCACACATTTAGATGATCATAAAATAGCTGGTGGATGTTTTTGTTTGCAATTTAATATATATTTATGTATGGATATATTTTGACTAATTTGCTATCTAAGATTGGAATGTTCAATTATAATCTATTAGACTTATAAGTGGCCTCTACTGCTGTAAATGATTGTATTGTGAGGATATTGCTGTGATTGGGTTATGTAGGATGCATGCCCTACTGTAAAAAATATTCTTCTTCTGGATTCTGAAGGGAAGCGTGTGGCAGTCAAGTATTACTCTGATGATTGGCCAACAAATAGTGCAAAGTTAGCTTTTGAAAAATCGGTGTTTACCAAAACACAGAAGACAAATGCTCGGACAGAAGGTATGCTTTAAGGTCAAGTTTTTTTTACCTTTTCTTGACATTCTTGAATTGATTGTTATGAGATTTGCAAAATGTGTTGCTTTTCAATTAGATTTTACTCAAGGTTTAGCACCTTGATTAACGGAATGCAACCCAGATTGACTGGACAAAACTTACATGACTTGATTTATTTTCTTAAGTACAATTAAGGGGAAACTTTTAATATGGGGAAGATAAATTATTTTTTTATGATTTTCAATATTGTTAGAAGCTACTTCTGTGGAAAAACTAAATAAAAATAAAATTGTTAGAAGCCCACCTTGTGGGGGTAGCATTGGCTCCTTAAAGGAAGCAGGTGCGGATTGGTGGGGGTTTCAAACTATAGTTACGTAAAGCCCTTGTAATAGCAATTCATGGTTCCGAGTACATGACCATTATTGTGGTCTATTTCTACACCTTAGCTGTAAACTTTCCTGTTTTATTTGATTGTTGCAAAACTAAATAGAGAAGCTGATGAAATATTGAACCTTGTGCTTTACATTTTTTCTCTCCTCTTAAAAGATGAGAAGCTACCTAATTGAAGCTGGATAGTTGTATTGGGCAATATTAATCAGAGGTCTTTATTTTTAAGTCTTAGAAAAACTTATGACCTAAAGTTGCCTTTTTTTTCTTTTTTCCTCTCATTTTGGAACTTCTGTCAACTACAGAAAGTAGCAATAACAGTTTATAGAAGTTCATCTTATTACAATTATTTCCTTAGTCCATGGTAAAGCATGAGAATGTGGGTTCGAATCCTGAGAGCAGCTACTTTACTCAATTAATTCCAAGGATTGGGCCTATGTGCAATCTGTCCTTCACTCCTTCCCAGCGCCCTTGATACTTGTTAGTGACCTCTATGACCCTCTAGTCTGGTAAAGCATCATCTTTATTAGTATTAGGGAAGTATCCTCATTTATGGACAAAATTAATTGCCAAAATAGCCTTCAGCTGTACCTTTGGAGCTAATTTTAAGCTCAATAGAATTGGATAAAAATCATTTTTCTCTATCTTGTGCATCTCACTAGTTAGATTTTAGCTCTATTAAATTAAATAAAAATTAGAATAAAATGTTAGTTCATTTTTTTCCCCTTCAATCTATAATTACATCAAACTTGCTGTACAGATGATAAATAAGGAGTTGAATCCCAATTAAGAGGGTTTTTGAACATAGGAGCACGAGCACCCACAAAGCACCAAAACCCGGTGAATACCATATATTTCTTTTATGTTTTCTTGTATTATTGAGTACTTTAGATTAAAGATATTTTTAAAAAAATTGTTATTTTATAAAATTATAGTTTCTTAAAGTTATTTTATAATATTATCTATGCAGTTTCATTCTTTAAGATTACTGGCTATTATTAGATTTATGAAGTGATATGCTTTTAAGTGGTTAACTCTAATGTATGATCCCAAATATACGTAGCTGTGCATGTTCAAGATATCATTTAGTTATTCTATATCACAAGGATATGCATCCTCTTGCATTTACGTTTGCATTTTACATTTATGCAACTAGTACTTCTTCTTTCACTGCAAGATCAGTACCTTTATCTGTCAGTAGGAAAAAACTGAAACCAAATCAGAAAACCATCTCTTATGTAGTTGATGGAAGTTTCTTGCATTATCCAGGAAAAAAAAAAGAAAAAAGGTTTCTTGCATTCTAAATTTTATTAATCATGATTTGAATGACCAAAGTACAGCGAGCCTACCCTGTTCTTCGACATTCTGCAGTAACTGGACATTGTCCATCCGCTCTTGCTTGACAAAATGGTGGATAGTAGTTGCATCAAGTAACTGACTGATAGTAGGTCAGTAAAAATAGAATGCAATTTTTGCTCCTTTCTGCATGACATTTGTCATCATTTATCATGAGCATTGCCATTGTTTTTTACTTTTTTATTTTATTTTTTTATTTTTTTATTTTTATTTTTTTATGAGATAGATTTATATTGATGAAATGAAATATAGTACAAGGAACTAAAGTGGCATACCCCTTGAAAAAACAAAACCAGAGGTCCATAACCAACTTAAATCAAGAAAACATCAACCAAGCAGTCAACTTCAAATGAAACAAAGAAAATACCAACCTGAGCCAATCAGCCCACCTTTTAATAAGTCTCTTTTTGTTCAATCTAAATGGATTGTCTTTTTATGTGGTCATTTCTATGTACTCAAATGAAATTTCTTGTGAATTTAAATAAGAGGTGGTGTGATATGCCTGAGAAGAGCGTTCACTGTGCATAAAGTTATGTTCATTGAAACCGTAAGTTCTTGAATTGAACCCTTGAGGCTGTCACCTCCTTTATTTCATTAGGTGAGATGACAATTTCACATTTTGTCTTATAAGTGCCAAATAGAAGTCGGGAATAAATGCTCAGAGAGTCAGCAACATTTGGATCTAGAATCCTCACAGTTAAATAATGGAGAGAACACTGTAATCACAGTGGAATATCAGTCAGAGCACTCACCACAAGTGTAGTGTCTGTATAAATTTCTTATGATTTTTTTTACCTCATATAATCTCAGTTTCCAAGCTTAACCAATACGAATACATTCATTACTTTCCTAGATCTGATTACCATGAGGGATGTTAATTGACCAATCCTTCCCTGCCTTCTTGAGGGATGTTAATTTTTTTTTTTTTGATAAGTAAAAAATTTGGACCTTTTCTCGATTTGTGCGTGTCATCCTTGCGCAGGGGCCATGCTAATCTTCTCTGTATCGTTCCAATTTTATCGGATGTCCCTGAAGGGACTTCTTGAGGGATGTTAATTGACCAATCCTTCCCTGCCTTCTTGATATTACTTATCATAAATTATGCTTCTTTGTTCCATTAATGTCCATTCATGTGTTTGCTATATTATTTACAGCTGAAATAGCAATGTTTGAGAACAACATTGTTGTCTATAAGTTCATCCAAGATCTACACTTCTTTGTGACCGGAGGTGATGATGAAAATGAACTAATCCTATCCACTGTTCTTCAGGGTTTCGTTGATGCAGTTACCCTTCTCCTAAGGTTTTTGTGATCATACCTCGAGCTGGTGCTTTTAAATTTGATACTGATGATATCTCAGTCTGTGCTTTTATGCTATCTAATATGGCATGCCTGTGTTATAGGAATAACATTGAGAAAATGGAGGCCCTCGAAAATCTAGATCTTATTCTTCTATGCCTTGACGAGATTGTTGATGGAGGGTAAGGAAAATGCTTCTAATTTCATTTTTTTGCTATTTTCTAGACTATCTGCTCACCTTGAATTAAAAGCAATGTTGCACAAAGAAACAAATTCAGAGACTACTGTCTACTAAAAGAGATTGATTGGTTGAAATCTTGAAGATAGGCAACATCATCTTTACCAATAACCAAAACGGTTGCATCCATAAAACGAAAAAATCAAGCATCGAATGGTAAACACTGTGCTTAACAAATGACAAATTTACAGAAATAAGGGCTTGTAAACTTCATACGTAAAGTTCATAAATTTGGGAACTGTATGTACATTAGAACTTAGCCTTGTGTTTGCTGTGCTTATGAGCTGGGAATGTAATATCTTTTACTTTCTGGATTTTGAGTATAGTATTTGGATATGTTAATTATGGAATATCAGGAGTTTTTGCATGTCCCTATAGCTACCAAAAGTTCAAAATTATGTAGGCATATTACCGAAATTTGCACCTAATGAATGTTCTCAATGAAATGGCTTTTTAAGGAATTTGAAATTTAAACTCATTGTAGCAAAATGATTATTTTAACAAATTGAATAACCTTAGTTTTCTTAATTACCTAAATCCCTCTAATCACACCTCGGGTTTTGGGTCTCGAAATCCGTGGGGTGACATAATCCTTAAGTTACAATTGATCTCAGATAGCACCTGAATATTACTTCATGGTTCTGATGACTGAGTAGTAAAACATGTGACTAAATCACAAATACTCTTTGCAAGAATTATACAATCTTCTAGCTCAATGCATGTACAGAACTTCTTGCCTCAATCTATGAGGATAATGATCTTAGCAATAGAAATGTCATTTACTCACAGCAAACGTAGACATCAATTTGAATAGTTTAAATATGGGTTTGGGGAGAAAATGGTTAAATATGGGTGAATAGTTGATCATTTGGGTGGTAGGTGGCCTAAGGGGAGGTAGTAAATCAACTCTGTTTCTTCAGTGTGGCTTCATGCCTTCTATTTTTAGTTTTTGTTCAAATAGTTTCAAGTTTTAGCCAGGAGTGTAGCATGCTCTTATCTTTTTCTGCTGTAGGTTTTATATTATTTTTTTGTATGGAAAATGTCACAATCAAATGCAATGCAAATTCTCTGTGCATTCCTACCGTCCCCGCCTTTTCCCATCCCGTGTTTCCTATCCTATAAGCTTATGTACCTAAACCTAAAACAAAAAGTTCTTCCATTTTAATCTATTATCAGTATGCTAGATTTTGCAAGTATGGGTATAATGAAGGAGTTTGTGTTTCTTTTACTCAAAAAAAAAAAAAAAGGAAAAAAAGAAGAAGAGGAGTTAATGCTTCATTTTGCCATTTGAATCTCATCGCTGTACGGCAAAATATTATGTGTTCCCTCCCCCATGCCTGCCGATGATGAACTTGCTCTAAATGCTACTTCTTTTCCATACAAGAGGTCATTATGATCAAGATGAGGTTAATCTTTTTTTCTTTATCCATTCCAGGATGATTCTTGAAACGGATGCCAATGTTATTGCGGGAAAAGTAGCAACTGATAGCATCGATGCGGGGGCACCCTTGTCTGAGCAGGTAATGAAACTCACTCTTTTCTAACTTTTTCTTTCCAGACTAGAATTCATCAAAAACCAATAATTTATGCTGTTGGATAAAATAGACTGGTAATAATAGATTGTCAATGGAAATAATTAATCTTATTCATGTCCAATCCAAGAAGACTTGAAAGATTATATTTTGAGTCAAGGAGATCACTTGGCTGCAAAATTGTTTCTAATCATGTTAAGACAACTTTTACTCTCTCAAGCTTCTCTAGCAGTTTATCTTACACCTCCTTGGTCTTTTGTGATGCTGGTGGCCTTTTGTGCTTCTTTTCGGTGTTTTATCTAATGGTAAGATGTTGTCAATATGTTGTGCAGACCCTCACCCAAGCTTTGGCTGCAGCTCGTGAACATCTGACAAGGTCCCTTCTCAAATAGTGCATCTGAGTGCACCCAGAGAAAACGAGTTGGCTTTTCATTCTTTATAAGTATATTTTTCTGAGAGTTGGCGGAATGGTAGTTCATTCCACTTCCAGAATTAGATTTCTTTTTTTGATCTTATGACAAGGATAATGCTGTTGGGCTTGTTATGTTTTCCTGTTGTCGGCCTATAAAATAATTGGTTAAGTTGGAGATAATGCTATTCCCCTGCATTGCAACTTTGTGATTTGCATGGGTCTCGTTAATTGAGGGTATCGGTAGAGATAGATTCAGTGTAAGCTTAAATTTTTACATTATTTACATAAATTGTTGTGCTTTGTCTTGAACTTACATTCTGCATTCTCACTTTGATAGTACAACATAGTTGTGCTCCCACTCAAACATGTATTTTCAAGTTTGGTAACCCAATATTAGTCTGTAATTGAGGATGTACAGCCTGAGTGGTGGCATAAACTGTGACATTATTTGCATTAAATGGTAGTGTGCAAAACTAAACTTGCATTTTCATTTCTTACAGCCCGCCTTGTCATTATTTTGATAAAATCATTGTTTCCAGTCCTATTTACAGATTTGATAATTTGAATTTTTATCTTCCAATCAAGTAATTTCTTGTATTTATATGGAAAATGTACGGATATATGTTTTAAATGTATATGAACTTTGTTTTTGTGCTGTGAAGAGATGGCTATTAACATCCTTTTCTCATCATGCAACTAATGAGGAGGGTGCAAGAGCAGGTTTGAGAATGAGCGTTCAATGTTCAAACTCGTGCCACCCGGCCTTGTATCATTTTGTTTTATAATTGCTGGCCCTTTTTTATGCAGTATGATATGATATTTTGGATTCGTAGCTACAAAGTTAACAAAATTTATAATTATAGTTAAATATTTTATTATAAATTTTTTTTTTCTAAAAAAATTATATATTAATTTTATTTACATTATATTTTAGCTATTTAAATTATACATAATGAGAGACATCCCGGTTTAGGAATTAATTTTTCTTTGTAGAAAAGTTTAGGGTAAGGGCACTTCGGAGTTGACATCCCTAAAGCATAGTCAACCAACACCTTAAAATTAGAGAACAAACACGTCTGTTACTTCCACCATTGTCGAGAGAGCGATAAAAGACAAAGAAGACTTGTGAGTTTTTTTGTCCAAGGATAGTTCTGTAAAAAGACAATCTTATAAAATCAAATTTATCCCAAGCTGAACAATGACTCGGGACATTCTAAGTGCGGGTACAACGTTATTTGATAAACTTGAAAATTAAAGTGCTGAAAATTTTTAAAATTGAATCTTAAAAATGTTAGAATTTTATAATCATTAATTATAAATTAAGAATTTATTTTTAGTACTTTTTACAGTTTAAGTTCACATAAGTGAAATATTCATCACATGTCAAAAAAAAAAAAAAAATTCATCACATAAAATTTTATTCAATTTTAATTAGCACTTATTGTTTTAAGTGGTATTAGTATTAAGTAATATACATCATCATTATTAAGTACCTAATTGTGTTATCAAACAATGTGTAAGTCTGTTTTGAGGGCACTTTAGCAAGTTTATGTCCCCGAACTTTGGACAAAAAAATACATTCACACTTATGATTTAACAATTGAGGATGTGAGCTCAACTAAAATTATCCTTATAATAACTTTATCTTATTAATTAATAAATTTCTAAAAAAAAATGTATATTATGAAATCTACTATAATAATGGTATTATTTATAAAAATATATCTATATAATGATTGATGGCAATAAAAGAAGGTTTTGAGTTCTTTTTACTTCTTTGAGCAAAAATTAGATAAACAACTAAATTAGAAATATATATATATATATATATATATAGATTATCATTATAGGGCTTTTTTTTTTTTTTTTTTTTTTCTCTCTAGTTGGGACTCGCATACACTGCCTCCATTGAAGTTTAAATTCTTGATCTCTCTTTGAAAAGTAAAAGCCTTATACCGCTAGGCCACACACCTGTTAGTTCATTATAAACTTATCACAAAATAAATAATTTTAAGTTAAAATAAATTCCAACAGAAATCTTGATATTTAACTTATTCAGCTGATTCTTACGCTCAAAATAATTGAGGTCAAAGTTAATAAAGGAATTTTTATTTATTAATCCAAACGAGTTGGATCGAGAGGTTCATTTAATTAGTTTACAAAATGAGTTTAAAAAATAAAAAAAAATTAAAACTGTAAATAAATATACAGCGAGAAAGAAAGCGGCCCCACCTACCCAAAAATGTAAGGGAGAGGCCCCGTAAATTCCTGGCATTGGTTTGTAGTCGGACGGAGAGAGTACACAGAGCGGGCTTCTTTGCCAACTGGGTCCCTCGAATCTCCTCACCCTCTCTCTCTCTAGATTTTCTCTCTCTAAGCTCCGCCTTCCCTATCATCGCGACTCTGCAACTTCGACTCTCTCTCTCCTCATATCTGTTTATTTTCTAAATGGGTTTGCTACATTCACGTTAAAGGTAGACAATGCATGTTTTTACGGGTACCCTTTTTTCTTTCTCATTATATATCTATACCTACATAAATGATTTGTGGCTTTCTGGGTTCTTCTTTTCTTGATATATCTTAGTTAATCTGTAATGAGGAATCTATACTTGTGTTATATATATTGTTTATTCTATTAAAGATTATTTATGCGGTTCTAGCTCGTGAAATTGTGATTTTCTTTTTTCTTATCTAATTGATTCAAAATCTTCAAATTAATTAATGCAAATTTGATTGTTTTAATGATAGGTCTTCTTAAGAAGGTTTAATCATTATAATGCATAAAGTTTGATTTGCATGTGTTATTGGGTTGATATATTTTCAGGTGATGCTTAACTGCATCTTGTGAAATCTAGGTGATAGGTCAATGTAGTTAAATTATAGAAGATAATGTTGTACAGCTTAGCAGATTCCTTCAATTATTGTGGTGAAGGCAAGATTGTGGAGGTTTTCCTTTAGGTGTTTGTTTATCTGGGCTCAAAATTACGAATTGGAGCCGAAACCAGAAAAATGCCACGGGGAAGGATAAGGGCCAGGCTTCGCAGCAGTCTGTACACATTTGGATGCATTAGGCCACCTGATGTTGAAGCAGACATACCACATCAATTCCAAGGCCCCGGATTTACACGATTTGTGAACTGCAACCAACCTCATCTCCACGAAAAGAAACCTCATAAATACTGCTCGAATTATATATCAACAACAAAGTATAACTTCTTCACATTCCTGCCTAAGGCCATCTTTGAGCAGTTCCGCCGTGTTGCCAACTTATATTTCCTCCTTGCTGCAATTCTGTCACTCACACCCGTCGCCCCATTCTCAGCTATAAGTATGATTGCTCCTCTGTCCTTCGTGGTTGGGCTTAGTATGGCAAAGGAAGCTTTGGAAGATTGGCGGAGATTTATTCAGGATATGAAGGTCAATATGCGAAAGGCTATCATCCACAAAGGTGATGGTGTTTTTGGTCTTAAGCCATGGATGAAGATTCGGGTTGGAGACGTGGTGAAAGTGACAAAGGATCAATTTTTTCCTGCGGATCTACTTCTTTTATCATCAAGTTATGATGATGGGATTTGTTATGTGGAGACTATGAACTTGGATGGAGAGACAAACTTGAAGGTAAAGAGAGCTTCGGAGGTAACCTTACCCTTGGATGATGATCTGACTTTCAGGGACTTCACTGGAACAATTAGCTGTGAAGACCCCAACCCCAGCCTTTACACCTTTGTGGGTAATCTTGATTATGATCATCAGGTTTATCCTCTTGATCCTAGCCAGATTCTTCTTAGAGATTCAAAGCTCAGGAATACAGGTTATGTGTTTGGAGTGGTGATATTTACTGGTCATGATAGCAAAGTCATGCAGAATGCAACAAGGTCTCCTTCAAAAAGGAGCACGATTGAAAAACAGACAGACAAAATCATATACTTCCTTTTCACCCTCCTTGTGTTGATCTCGTTGATCAGCTCCATAGGTTTCTCTGTAAAGTCTGAGTTTGAAGTGCCAGACTGGTGGTACTTGAAACCCCAGAATCCGTCATCAATTTTTAATCCGGAAAAGTCCGCCTTGACGGGATTTTTCCATTTGGTTACTGCTCTTATCCTGTATGGATATTTAATACCCATCTCGCTTTATGTTTCAATTGAGGTTGTGAAGGTCCTGCAGGCAATGTTCATTAACAACGATATACATATGTATGATGAAGAGACTGGAACTCCTGCTCAAGCACGGACATCAAATATAAATGAGGAGTTAGGTCAGGTTGACACAATCCTCTCTGATAAAACTGGCACTTTGACATGCAACCAGATGGACTTTCTCAAATGTTCCATTGCTGGTACTGCATATGGCATGCGTTCTAGTGAAGTTGAAGCCGCAGCTGCGAAGCAGATGGCTAATGAATTTGATAGGCAGGTCTCGGAAATTCCAAGCAATGCTATCGACAAAAAAAGTGCACATAGTTTCTGGGAAGACAGAGGAACTGGTCTCGGGGCATCAGAAATTGAATTGGAAACTATCATTACTTCTAAAGATGAAAAGGATCAGAAACCTATGATCAAGGGGTTTAGCTTTGAGGACAGCCGCCTCATGAATGGAAATTGGATGAAAGAGCCCAATGCAGATGTCATTTTGTTATTTTTTCGGATACTTGCAGTTTGTCACACCGCGCTTCCTGAGCTAAATGAGAAGACTGGAAGCTTCAACTATGAAGCTGAGTCACCAGATGAAGGAGCTTTTCTTATTGCAGCAAGAGAATTTGGCTTTGAGTTTTGTAAAAGAACTCAAACAAGCGTATTTGTTCGTGAAAGATATCCTTCTTCTGAAAAGCCAGTTGAAAGGTCAGACAGCAAATGAACAATTTCCTTTTTTATTTGGTGTTTTGTTGATCTTCCTTGGACTCTTTGTGTCTTACCATATTATTTGTCTTCTTAAAATTTTCAGGGAGTTCAAAATTCTCAATCTGTTGGATTTCAGTAGTAAAAGAAAGCGAATGTCCGTCATTGTCCGGGATGAGGAGGGAGAGATTCTTCTCCTGTGCAAGGGTGCAGATAGGTTTGGCTCATGACTTACTTTCTTATTTTTCTTTAATTTCCTTCAGAAGCTCTTACAGCTTACAATGATATCATTAGTGTAATTTTTGTAGAACCTTAAGTTTGCTCACAAGGTGTTTATGGAGTGTATAAACTTGTATCTTTAGTCTGTTCTTTAAAGTTTGATGGTTTAAGTAATCAGACATAGAGCAGGATGACCTTTGAAGCTCTATATATTTTCCTTCCCACTCCAGTTCATTGAGTCTAGACTGTCCTTTAGCAATGTTGATTTGTTTACAAATTCAATAAATTGTTCCTTTGTTTGTAATTTTGTATTATGCAGCATCATCTTTGATCGCTTATCAAAGAGTGGAAGAATGTTTCAGGAAGCTACCACAACCCATTTGAATGACTACGGGGAAGCTGGGTTGCGTACGTTGGCACTTGCTTACAGAAAGGTTGAAGAGTCAGAGTATTCTGCTTGGAACAATGAGTTTCTTAAAGCAAAGACTTCCTTTGGTGGTGATAGAGAGGCAATGCTTGAACGGGCATCTGATATGATGGAAAGAGATTTGATTCTTGTTGGTGCAACTGCTGTGGAGGACAAACTGCAGAAAGGAGTATGTTTTATCAATACTATAGTGTTAAAACCATTATTTATGCATTATCTTTTTGACAATCTCCCTCAGCTTTTATAACTCTTCTTTCTAGGTGCCTCAGTGCATAGATAAACTGGCACAAGCTGGTCTCAAGATCTGGGTTCTTACTGGAGATAAGATGGAGACTGCCATCAACATAGGGTTTGTCTCTCAGCAACTAAAAATAAGGCTCTGATTAATGCATACTAACTTCATGACTTTGCATTTAAAGACCAATAGCTGAAATAAAATTTTTGTTTGAGTGATGCAGATTTGCATGTAGTCTGCTTCGACAGGGCATGAATCAGATCTGTATAACAACAATGAATGCAGATATGTCAGCCAAAGATCCCAAAGAGGTAAAGTTTTTCAGAAACAATCATTGTAGATCTTTTATAGGAAATTTATTTCATTGATGTTAAAACTTTGATGCTTCTTGCTACCGATCAGGCTATGAAAGAGAACGTTTTGATGCAAATCATCAATGCCACCCGAATGATCAAGCTCGAAAAGGATCCTCATGCTGCATTTGCCTTAATTATTGATGGGAAAACCCTAACTTACGCTTTAGAGGATAATATGAAGCATCAATTCCTAAATCTAGCAGTTGGTTGTGCATCGGTCATATGCTGTCGTGTCTCTCCGAAGCAGAAAGCTCTGGTGCGATATCTTTTTCCTCTTGATGGACTTTGTTTACCGAACATTGTCTTTTCTGCTATTTGGTTTTCTAAGTTAGCAATATTCATATAGTAGAGATAGTTGCATGTCTTTTTCTTTGAGTTTGTGGTTGTCTTGTTCTATCTCTCAATTTGTTCAAGTTTTAATTTCATTGGAACATTAGGTAACAAGATTAGTGAAAGAAGGAACTCGAAAAACCACCTTAGCAATTGGTGATGGTGCAAATGATGTTGGAATGATTCAAGAAGCAGATATTGGTATTGGTATCAGTGGGGTGGAAGGAATGCAGGTTGGTAACGAAACTAACAGGCTTTGTTTGCATTATGCATCTGTAAAAGCTTTAGTACAAACATTTTTATAATTCTAACATGTTTTAGTAGTAGCACAATACATCTTTTTACAGATCATTATTTTTTCTTAAACTCAGATCTCTTGGACGGCATGGACTAAGGATCCATATCAACTCTCCTTTTATGTGTCTGGGGTATTAGAAAAAAAAAAAAAATGGGATATGTGAACGAAATATTATGTCCAGTTACTGCACAATGAATATTTGAGAATATTGCGTGAAAAGTAGAAGGTTGGGTTGTTTACTAGCTTTATGGTTGCTTTTCATGCGTGGAACTAATCTCGATTCCAGACAGGAACTTTCTCTGTCTGAACCTGTTACCGACCAATAAGAGAAATAGCCACATGCAGAAAATTTCACAGCAACTGTCCTTGTCAACCTGCACTTATGATTTTCTTTTTGATGTTTAGTCTCTTTTTATTTATTTTATTTATTTTTATTTTTCATTTGGTTCAATTGCTTTACTCATCTTCTCTTGGAAGGTGGGGTGGGAGGTTAGTAATGTAATCATATCAGCTCTACTGCCTAATAAGCATTTAGTCAGATGATCTCCACCTTGTACAAGTTTATGTCAATAACTGTACTAGTTGTCAATTTCTATGGATCGTTTGGTTTCAGGATTCTGAGAGTATCAACTCTGAATCCACGTTCAGAAATGTTGATGCATTGTTCAATGCTACTATAGTCTTTCAACTTCTTCTCCTACCATAGCAAATTGATTATATTATGGGGCACTGGGTCCAAAACCATGGTCCATTTAACTTTTATTGGTTAATGTTTATATTTTAGCCAGGCTCAAGTAGCCAAGGGAACATTATAGTCCGGCTCACTAAATTATCAGTTTTTTGCAGGCTGTGATGGCTAGTGACTTTTCTATTGCACAGTTTCGGTTTCTAGAGACTCTTCTAGTTGTCCATGGACATTGGTGCTATAAGAGAATTGCTCAGATGGTAATAACTAAAAAAAAAAAAAGAACAGATGATACTGCCATTATATATTAATGATTTTATCATTTTTGCACTGCATGCACACACACGTACGCAGTTTACATATTTCAGTTTTGTGCCTTTGTGCTAGTGTTTTTGACCACTAATTCATCCTTATTTGAACTGCATTGTTGTGCATTCAGATATGTTATTTCTTCTACAAGAACATAGCTTTTGGCCTCACAATTTTCTACTTCGAGGCATTCACAGCCTTTTCCGGCCAAGCGGTGTATGACGATTGGTACATGCTGCTATTCAATGTTGTTCTTACCTCATTGCCTGTCATTTCGCTTGGTGTCTTTGAACAAGATGTTTCTTCGGATATATGCTTACAGGTTACTCCAATATTAGCATCTTCGTCTGTAATTTCATCTATTCTGTTCATCAATGTCACACTCACGCATAGTTCACGCGTTTTTCAGTTCCCAGCATTGTATCAGCAAGGACAGAAGAACTTGTTCTTTGGCTGGTACAGGATATTGGGGTGGATGGGAAATGGTATTTATTCCTCCCTGGTCATTTTCTTCCTCAACATTAGCATCTTTTATAACCAATCCTTCCCGAGGGAAGGCCATACTGCTGACATGGCTGCTGTGGGTACAACTATGTTCACTTGCATCATCTGGGCTGTAAACTGCCAGATTGCGCTCATAACGAATCACTTCACATGGATACAACACGTCTTTGTCTGGGGCAGCATCACTTCTTGGTACTTGTTTCTTTTCCTATATGGCTTGCTGCCTCCAATTTATTCCGGGAATGCCTACGTAATCCTTCCAGAGGTTCTTGCTCCCTCTCCAATATACTGGTATACCACCATTTTAGTAACAATTGCTAGTAATCTTCCATACATGGTTCACATATCTTTTCAAAGATCTTTCAATCCGTTGGATCATCATGTCATCCAAGAAATCAAGTACTACAGGAAAGATGTGAAGGATCGACATATGTGGAGAAGAGAACGGAAGAAAGCAAGACAGGAGACCAAAATCGGTTTCACAGCAAGAGTGGATGCGAAGATCAGGAACTTGAGAGGGAGGCTGCAGAAGAAGCAGTTATCTATTAATCCCTCTGGTTTGCCCTCATTGTAATAGCGCCATTGTTTTTTTAGTTCTTTTATATAGTTTTTTAGGGTCTTGGTGTTTGCATTTCTACTTCTTTGTGGCCCTTTCCCAATTCATATATTGGCAGTTTTTTTGTGTGGTTTCAGTGGTTTGTAGATGCCCATTCATCAAGCCAGAGTATTAAAGCTGTTGTATGTAAAAAAAAGAAATTCAAAAGATTTGATTATAGCTAGTGAAAATAGTCCATGTCTAGCTGCCTTATCTCTGGGTATGTACTGGACCAATATACACCTTTTTGTACCCTTAAAGCATGAAAGCTTTGCAGCTATAATCCAACCCCTGATTTGCTCTCTTTGCCATAATAAAGTGAAGACGCTCCCAGATTGAGCTTGTGCATTGGATCAAGAGTGCAAACCTCAAAGCCCTAATCTAACATTTGAAAATTTTAGCTCACACAAGAGTGTTTTTCTTTTTGAATTTACATATTTGTTTTGATTAACTTCAAACAGATTAATATTGGGTCTATTTGATTGAATTTTCCAAAAACAGTTTTGAAGGGGAAAAAAAAAAAAAAAATCTATATTAATATCTATAAGTTACCAATGGCCTGGTGACATATAGGGTTTGAATCTCTAAAAGGACAAAAGTGCTGGTGGGGGTGGGTTTCTTGCCATTAAAAAAAAAAAACCTAAAGTTGAAACATTTTCAAAAAGTTGGGTGAATATTCAAAAATAACTAAAACTTTATAGGTGAGTTTGTAACCTTACATAGAATTTAGGTAAAGTTATAATTTACCATAAAGAAAATTACAAGAAGAAAAGTAATATGATAAAATTACAGGCATTCATATTAAAAAAATATACCAACATAATGGTCTCTTTCAGATTTTGTTTAATAATTGTTGCTAGATATTAAATGAATTAGTCACTATTTTTCCGCCTTCAAAATAATTTTTTTATATATATATTTTTTTACATATATCATTTAATTGAATTCAGAATGTCTAAATTTACAATTCAGGGCTTCTTATTGACTAAGGTGCAAGTTTATTAAATCATAAGTTTTGAAAAGCAGTGAGTGTAATTTTTTAATATAAAGTGATTTTTGTAATTTACTTAAACTTAATAGAAGGTTAATGCAATTTACTAAAAATAATAATTAAAATGTTAATTATATATAAAGGTGTGAAAGAGGTCTCTGCTTCGATTGGATCAAAGCGCGAGTGGAAATATCATTATGCCTCCCCTTTCCCCTCCGTCTGTCTTCCTCTCTCCTCTGTCTTCCTCTCTCCAACTCTGCAACCCAAAACCTCCATTAAGCTAGATTTCTAGAGAGAAAAATTCTCAAAACCCTAGATTTCCTTTACATATTTTTCCAGTGATCTCTCACAACAATTTATTTTCCCCCTTTCTTGGTACCACAAACAAAATCGTTTCTACATCCTTTGGTCGTGTGTGTGGCCACAAATTTGTTTTCCCGTTGATTTCTGATCATCGTTTTGATCAAGGGTTTGGACTTTGGACGGTTCAATTTGCGCTTTATTTATTTGTTTTTAATGATTTTTTTTAGCTAGCGTTGAATTGTAGATAGGGTTCCGTTTGGACGTTGATTTTGTGACTTTTGATGGAACCTCGTGTGGGTAATAAGTTCCGTCTCGGCCGGAAGATCGGTAGCGGCTCGTTTGGAGAGATCTATCTTGGTATGTTGCAATTCTCGCTCTTCATTGTTCTCTATTGTGAATGTTAATTTACTGTGTTTTTTTTTTTTTTTTTTTCAATTTGATTCTTATTTTGTACATTTTTACAGGCACTAATATTCAAACAAATGAAGAAGTTGCTATTAAGCTTGTAAGTTCCCATATTACTATGAATTCTGTCATTATGTGTTCTTTCTTTTATTTTTTATTTTTTCCTTTTAATGTTGTGCCCGTGGCTAAGAGGTTTTACGTTCTTTTCTATTTGTGATTGAATTATTTTTTATTTATTATTTATATATTTTTTTGGGTTCGTTAAGTTGGAGGTTGCAAATTTCTGTTTATGTTTATGGCGTCTTTGATAAATTTTTCACCTATGGAAGCTTGCGCATACACCCAATGTGGCACATGCCAGCACACAGACAAATTTATTGCATATGTGGTGAGGGTATAGTCAAGTGATCAATGCGTGACAAGAATTTAGCTTCAAATCAGAGGGGATTTTGGATTAGTTGCACCTTAATACTTTGAGTCTATGGCTTAGATTCTACTGTGTTTTTGAGATATCAAGTTCAAGATCACCTGCTTTGCATAGTTATTGGGTTGTGCAAATTTCATCTAAGACAGGAATGAAGCAGATGCCGAATGTCTTGTCATTAGTTTGTTGTTTGAACTTTGAACTGTCCTGCTCAAGTGCTTTCTTTCTTCTGAATCGCATTATGTTTGATGATTTGAGCTGATTAGGGCCCAGATATTATCATGGTTTAGCTAAAACTATTATTATGTTGTGATTGATGAGATTTTTAGTTGGTATTTATCTAGATTTTAGGGTAAATATATTTGGTGTTAGAACTTGGGATAGTTTTAGTAAATAAGGAAGTGTTATTGTGATAGAAACTGCATATTTTTTGAGCTAACATTTTCTATCTTCAAGAATACAGTTAAGGTGCTAATTTTTGGTACTTTAGTTATAGGATATTTGTGGTAAACTGTTGTGTGATCATTTTTTTACCATTAAATTACCCGTTGGTTTCTGATTTTATGTTTTCTCTGCCTGGATTTGGCCCAAAGGTTGATTTTTTACGAGGGTTGCATTAAATTTTGAACTTGTGATGTGATGGGGTTTAGGAATTAAAGGGTTTGTTGATTGAATCCTAGCTTGTGCATATGCAACTTTGCACTGTTTGATCAAATCAAAAGAAGCGGCTGGCAGTGAGCAAGAAGGGGTCGTCAGCTGGTTTCTGTAGCTCTACTAAGCAAATAATTGCTTGCTTCCTTCTGGAATATGTAGCTCTACTTAGCTTATAATTGCTATCTGCCTTTAGTTGCAAATAACGTGTGCGTGCAGCATAGGAGAAGAGAAGCTAGCTATGGTCGTTTAGCCCCATCTATATCTATAGGTGGCAAATGTCAAGAGCTGATAAGTGATGAGTGTGGTAATAGTATTGGGGGCCGGTTCCTTGATGCTGTGCGTTCTGTCCAGGTTCAGCTCTCATGTACGCCCCACCTCACATAGAAAAGGGGGACCTCTTCTATAGAAGAATCAGACTGCTATAAAGTACTGCTATAATTATGCCAGAGTGAAAGAGAGAGAAGAAATGGCGGCCTGGGGAATATATTAGACACTTCTTATGTTCTCTAGTAAGTGTGCTTAAGTAAAAACCCAACCTGACAACCCGAAAATTGCCCCTGGATGGCATTAATGTCACAAGTGGGAAGGGATTAAATCGGTCATTCATCATATACATCTTCCTCCGTGATCCATTTCATGCCTACACTAATTAGTTATCAAAAGACTTACTTTACAAAGATAACATTGCTTACAGGAACCTTGCAGTTCTCTGTAACCGTCCTGGATCGGCCTTGCCAATGCCCCTAGTGCTTATCGTCTATGCTGGATATAGAAGGGGATTGATTTCTTCGCTGTAGTATTATTTGAACTCATTTTGCATGTTGAATTAATACATGCTTGAATTTCTTCTTCTTCTTTTTTTTTGTTTGTTTTGTTTTTGTGGCGGTTGTTGTTGTTTGTTTGGTGTGAACTTTGTTGTTGGCGTTGAAATTTTTTTCCGCTAGTTGAAACAAACACCCACTTTGCCCCTATAGGACACTTTGGAAGGTGAAGAAGTACTACTAGGCTACATTCCCTTGGTCAATGAATAGTTTCACCCATGAATTTTCAATTGTGTTTCTTATATACAGGAAAATGTCAAGACAAAGCACCCCCAGTTGCTGTATGAATCGAAGTTGTATAAATTACTACAGGGAGGAAGTAAGGATATTTACTAGCTTGCTGCCTTCTTCTTCTTCCTTTTTGGCTCACTGTAATATTTATTAGTTCATATCCTTATCGGTGAGAAATTTTTTTGGCAGCTGGAATTCCAAATGTGCGATGGTTTGGGGTTGAAGGGGACTATAATGTTCTTGTGATGGATTTACTGGGACCTAGTCTTGAAGATTTGTTCAACTTTTGTAGTAGGAAGCTGTCCTTGAAGACTGTACTTATGCTCGCAGATCAGATGGTAGGATTTATTCTACTGCATAAATACTGTGGTAACAATAAAGGCACCTCTGTTTATTGTTTGATGGCAATCTATTCTTTCAGATAAACCGGGTTGAATTTGTCCATTCCAAATCATTCTTGCATCGAGATATTAAGCCAGATAATTTTCTTATGGGATTAGGGAGGCGTGCAAATCAGGTTTGAATTGAAAGTTGTCCCCTCCTTTTCTTTTTTCTATTTGCTTTGAGGATCTGTTTTAATTCCTTGTTTGCTATTTAATTGCATTTAGGTCTACATAATTGACTTTGGTTTGGCTAAGAAGTACAGAGACTCCTCAACCCATCAACATATTCCTTATAGGTGAGCTCCTTTTGAACTATTTAATGGGTGAGTTGGTTCAAATACTCGTATTCAAAGGATTTGGTCTTTCATAGGTCTGGAGCCGATTGATACGTTATCCTGATCGATTTGCAATTTATTTTGCTCTTTGACATGCTATGTTTTGTTTTGTGGAATTAGATGGGCTCCACCACCCTTTTGGCAAGGTGTAATAAGGGGGAGTTTATCCCACATTGGATCCGGATGGGAGAGTGATTGGGTATATATGAGTTGGGTGTTGCCCCCACCTAATAGCTTAGGCTTTTGGGTCGGATTGCGAAGCACCCACCCGTGACGGTATCAGAGTCAAATCCAGTTCTTGATTCGGTGTCACGCCAAGCGCCTGGCCCGGAGGGCATCATGGTGGACAACCCGGGTAGGCAGGGTGGCTCGACCTGTAGTAATGGCGTTGCGAGTTCGGGTGGGGGAGAATGTAATAAAGGGGAGTTTGTCCCACATCGAATCCGGATGAGAGAGTGATTAGGTATATATGGGCTGGATGTTAGCCCCACCTAATAGCTTAGGTTTTTGGGTCGGATCGCGAAGCACCACCCATTACACAATGGGTGAACAAAATTATTATTCCATTCTTTGGCTCCTCAATTTTGTCAACCTATTATTAGTTTTCTTGCTCTTATATATTTTATTGTACCATGATGAGTTCTGTTTGTTGCGGCCCCTAAAACGGTGCAGGATACTCGTAACATTTAATGTATTGGCCTATGTACATTTTATTATGAGCTAATGAAATGTGTTTTATATTTTTGTTTGTTCGAAAAAATTCTAAATTTGTTGATGCTGCTGCAAGAAAACTTTAGCACCTCTTAATTCAATTTACTTCATAATTTTTAAGACACCAAACCTCCCTGAATTAGCTTGCAAGTGAAGATGGAAGGAAAATTTGGGGGGGGCCTGGCACACTGATTTATATTATGTCTGTTACTGATCAGATGAGGATAAGGTGTCATACCCTGTAGGAAGCAGGAATTTTAGCTAAGTAGGGTGATGCTGATAGTGTTGACTGTATCTTGAACATTCTGGTGAATTCCCTTTTATCTCATGTTTCTGATCTGGTTCATGTATGCTTCATTAATCAAAATTGGAGCTTAAATTTCAAGTGAGGTTATAGTTTATGGCTAGAATAATGGGAGTTCTTAATGAGTGGAAATTATTCTGTACATGTGGATTGCATTTGATGAATGGTTGTATGTCACATGTTATTACCATTTGATTACTTCTGAGCATCGAATTATATAATCTTTTCTTCTCTTTTATTTTTGGTCTTTGACTTCCATACTTTTCCTGACACTTAAGTATCTGAGCTTGTTTACATGACCCAGATGTTATTCATAGTGTGTTAATTTTGATATTATGTATCATTTAAAAGGCAACAGTGACTCTTCAGAAGTTGGACATATGAGTGCAGTATGTTTCTGCAATAATTGTTGCTTCTTCTTTTTGTGCTTGATTGGTTGTTTATATTCTGGTCTCACTAAGAATCAAAGTATTCGCTAGTCATCCTGTTTTACATGCCTCGTTTTTGTCAGGGCTCCTTGTACTATTTTACTAGATGATTTAGTTATCAGAGATGCCAGTTTCTGTTCCCTTTTTTTTTTTCTCCTCTTGAATGTTTCCAAATAAAATGCAGAGAAAATAAGAATTTGACGGGCACTGCAAGATATGCAAGCATGAATACTCACCTAGGCATTGGTATGTAATGGCAATTTTTTTTTTTTTGTTTATCCTTTTGTTAATAAAGCACAACCTCTTTCTGTGTAATGTAAGTGTTAATCCTTGGGCTAATTTTTTTTTTTCTCCCATGTTTCTCTTGTACTATTGCATAGAACAAAGTCGGAGGGATGACTTAGAATCACTTGGTTATGTTCTTATGTATTTCTTAAGAGGAAGGTACACAATCATTTGATGCTTAACTTCATTATTTTATTGATTTTCTATTATGTGCTTGTTTATTTATGACCACATATGTTTGTAGTCTCCCGTGGCAGGGACTGAAAGCAGGAAATAAGAAACAAAAGTATGAAAAGATAAGCGAAAAGAAAGTGTCAACCTCTATTGAGGTAATTTATGTTTTACAAGATAGATCGATGCAAATGATACATATTCAGCACCATGAAACTGACTGCAAAGCTAACTGCTTCATCCTTAGGCCTTATGTCGGGGGTATCCCACAGAATTTGCATCATACTTCCATTACTGTCGATCATTACGGTTTGATGATAAACCAGATTACGCTTATCTGAAGAGAATCTTCCGGGACCTTTTTATTCGTGAAGGTTTGAGTTTATTTTATTATTATGTATCCTTTTGGTTTTGGAAAGATTAAAGGTCAGGCTTTTAATTTCAATGTTGCGCACTCAATAAATGAAGGTTGTTACTTTCTTTTTGCATCAGGCTTTCAGTTTGATTATGTGTTTGATTGGACTATTTTGAAGTATCAGCAATCTCAGCTTGCCAATCCTCCTTCCCGTGCTCTTGTATGTGACATTGTATAATTAGTTTTTCCCCATTCTTTTGCCCTTTGCCCCTTATTTTGGCCCCTTCAATGGAAATGCTTTGAATAGTAAGATATTGTGGACAGGCTGCTGGTGCTGGAACGAGTTCTGGGATGCCCCATGCAATTGGCAATGTCGATAGACAATCAGGTAATTCTCTGCATTTTCCTTTCTTATATTAAGTTTTACCGAGTGAAATCCAGTTGCATGTTCTTGAAACCGAGTGAAATCCAATTGCATTTTCAACTTATTTGATTCTGTCATCCGGATAATGCATATTCTAATTTTCTGCGCATACCTTTGTGGGTTTTGACTTTTGATGTATGGTTATTTTGGACACACTGTCAAGTCTCCCACTGATTTAATGAGCTAATCTTCTATTCCCCTTGAACCTTTACACCAATTTTTGTAATAAATTTCTGATCTTATCCCAATGTTCTGGTTCCATCTATTGCTCTGAGCTTAATATGTATGCTGAATGTGTTGCAGCTGGTGAAGATGGTAGGCCTACTGGTTGGTCTTCATCAAATCCAACACGTAGAAACACTGGACCACCTGTAAATACCGGAGGCTTGTCTAAACAAAAAAGTCCAGTTGCAAATGATTCAGCCATGGCCAAAGACAGTATTGTAAGTTTATTTCATTTTTATTTTTATTGTCAAAAGATAGATGGGTGCTCTATACCAATGTGAATGGAGATTCCCTTGCAACTGGGCTATATTACCCTTTGTTATCGGTTTAATTGTTTAGAACCTGTCTCAGCCCACCAACCTGCCTGAAGAAAATGAGTTTTGTTAAGTTTTATGCCGCAGGAGTTAGTTTTGGTGATCTAGTCCTATCTGATTAAATATGGGTTGTGTTTAGCCTCAAAACTTGCACAAGCTAAAGTGACCATTTATTTTTTGTTTTTTTGTTTTTTTGAAAAATTATATATATTAGTTATATTTTCTTCTGTTTTTTATGCATCCTTCAATGAGGATAAAAAATGTATCTAGGTTGGTGGACTGTTCCGCTCTCCCTATTAGATCTTGTGACTAGGTTTTGAATCCAACTGGAACTAGCTTTTGAACATGGCCTACTAGTGATCCTTGTCATCCATGCAATTATTTAGGTTTATTTTAAGTTCTCTTGGTTTTTGACACGAATATGTTCGTTAACATGGTGATACAAGCAAAATGAATCTGATGCAAAACTATTCTCAAAAAAAAAGTTTGTCCAATGTGCAATATTGGTCTGTTTACTGAACGATGGAACTTTAACTTCCCCAAGGAGTTCCTCACATGGGTTACTTATTGTTTTATTTACTAGCTTATTGATAACTTCCAATCTTGTTTCTTTCAATTAGCTAAGCCCTTTTAGACCAGCATGGCAGTTTCTGCTCGTGTTATATGCATGTCTTATTTGTGCAGACACACTAGAGTCGATAATTGAATGGATTAGGGAAAGAAGTGCTTTACAGTTATGCCAAGCCTTTCTACTTGGAAGAGCAGTTTTTTATTATCTTTCTTGCTGTCAATGACTCAATATCTTTCTGCAACATTGCTTGGATTGTTTGTGTATACTCAACGATATGGTCCACTAAGAAACAAAATCAAAACCCAAAGTTCTCTTTCTGCAACCTTCCGATGGCATTCCTGTGAGTCTGTGACTACCTCTGCTGTCTTTGGTTACCCGTCCAACTATAGCCTGGAATTTTGACCGAATTACTAAAAACTACTAAATTAACTAATAAAAAGTCGGTCTAGGAATAAAGTCTTGAGGGGCTTGCTGTTTTGGCTTTCAGCTGGAGTGGAACTGCTTTAGCCAGAACAGCTTGTAGTGAAAATGGAACTAAAGTTCTGGTTCTACTTGCTTAATGTATCTTAAAGATAAAACAATTTAGTTAGTCCCTGACTTAATTCTGTTGCTACATTTTGGTTCGTTACTTGTGGTTGGACTCTTGCAGTTGTCTGGTTCTAATTTTTTGCGGACAAGTGGATCTTCGAGGCGACCTGCTGTCTCTAGCAGTCGTGACCCAGTGATTGCTGGGAGTGAATCTGATCCTTCTCGCCTCCGTGCCACTGGTGCAAGTCCAAGTGCACTTCGCAAAGTTTCTAGTTCTGCTCAAAGAAGTTCACCAGTTGTATCATCAGATCACAAGCGCAGTTCTTCTAGTAGAAACCCCTCTAACATAAAGAACTTTGAATCCACTCTCAAGGGTATTGAGGGCCTGCACTTTAATAACGATGAGAGGCTGCATTATTAGTTGTCTCTATTCGACCCTCGTCTACTGTAAAAATTGAAATGGTAATACTTTGGCATGCACTTGGAGTGGAATCTGTTATTTTGTGTTGTTCTTTGAAGACAGCTGGCAGCTGAAATATAAGGTGGTGCAAGTTGGGTAATGTTATACTAGAAACCATACAATAAGAGATCTTGAAAGAGTAGAGCAGAGCCCGACTATATCCCACCCAAGTTAGGCTTGTCAATACAGTGTGAGTTGTTTTGGAATGGTTTCAGTTATATTGTTGTTTTGATCCTTGTTTTCCGTCAGCTCTTATGTTCATTGTTCCGTCAATTCTATATGTTAACGACGTGGGTTATAAGCACTGTAAAACTGTAACTAGGCTATTTTATTGATTTTTGTGGTGCATTTAGATTTCCAGAAGACTTGGATATCAATATTATCTAAAACTGGAAGGTTGTTTTGTTGATTATTTGGTTCATTTTGTTTTCCAGGAATCTCAAGGATTGAGATTATTTAGCACTTAACCCGTACTGTGAAAATGAACTTACAAGCGTTTCAGTAGATGTACAGGTGAAGTGTTATATTTTCAAAGACGAAGTACAAGGTGAAACATAGAATTTGACAAGAGTTGTCTTGGCTTGGCCAAAGCAATTGATTTTGTAATTTTATTTTCTTGATGTCTCTTTTTGCTTAACAATACCAGTTTTCAGACCTAACCCTATAGGGTTTACTGGAGGATGTGGCTTCAAAGCTTTTAGAAGCTCTTTATCATATCACTTCACACAGCATCTGATGTTTGTCGAGGCATACAACAAATTCTGTAAACGTTCTTATGGTTTTGCAACCTTTACTTATTTAGTGTAGCATGCTGATGTAGATTGGTGCAATACTTTTATCCTTGTGATTGTGAATTTGCAAGCACACATTCATTGATATACAAACTTCGACAAAGCCCGCATTCCACTCTAGGTTTTTTAACAAGGACAGTTGGTATGGTACTTGCTTGAAACTATGAAACTAATCCCCTTCGAACATCTAACATATAACAACCGTGAATCATTGGATGAAGATGTCTGAATATCTTTGTATATATATGTAAATTATTGAAGGGATTTCTCCTGCCTCTACAGTTGGACTAATTCCCTTCGAACACCTATCATATAGCAACCAATTCTCTGCAAAGCATTGGATGGAGCATATATATGTAAATTATTGAAGGGATTTCTCCTGCCTTGCTCTCCTATCAAAAGTTTTGATTGTGGAGGTTGAGTGTGCAAGTGGCAATATTGTAGGCATGTTTGTGTTGGAGTAACTTTATTGTCCTGAATCGTGAATTCCGTTCGATTCCCCATTCAGCCATTCCAGCAGGGTCGCCACCGATTTGCATAGATTGCCAAAAGAGGATCTAATTCCTGTTTCTAATTCCCTGCAAAGTTAGTCCCAAACTTTTGGACCATATTTCTAATTCGTTCTCCACAGCAATCCAAAATTTTACGCACGAGAAATGGTAATTCCCTTGTTTCAATAGCTGGTGTGTATATGTATTCACTCTCATTAACAACCAAATTTTTGTACGCAGTGTCAGCAGAAGTCTCTAATAAGAGAAACCATGTGCAACTATGAGAGACTAAAAACCAATAACCATATGATTTAGGCGTCTAACAGCCTGTTGGTAAGGAGTCAAATATAAGGAAATGACGGAGTATGGGAGCCTTTTTATTCATTTAGTAGAGGAAAAGAATAAAGGGAAAGGAAGGCAAAGAGAGAAGCTCCCTAGTATGAGAAAAAATACATTTTTCTTTCTTTATGTTCTTTTTGACAATAAATATATTTGTTTTTCATCTTTAATTGTTAAAGTACAAAAAGGCCATATCATGTTATATACCTATCCCTGTCTTCATTTCTTTTTAGTTCTCTAGAGGTACATCTTCCAACCCTTCAACATTTCCCTCCTTTCCATCTTCCAACCTCCATAAGTTTGCCTAAAAGACAGGTAAATACAACTTTAAGCTATTTTGAGAAAGTGACACCGGGTTTCCTAAACCGAACAAAGACACCCCTTGTCAGAATTTTGATCCAAATAAGGCCATAAAATGCTTGAAAAGACAAAATTGCCCATCAACATTTAATTGATTTTAATGGCAAAATATCACAATTCTGAAGTGATGTTTTTGCCCTTCCATCAATATCAAGATTGTATCATGTCCTCCATTTTTCTCTCTCTAACTTCTGCTAACTTATCTTCTTGGGCGACAACTTGGCCCATGAAGTTGACGTTGAAGGCTAGGGAGGATTGCACCGGCAATGGTGGTTTGATGGCTTTTAATTCCACTGCCGATTGTCAACGGCACAAAAGAACAAGTAGAGTGACGAGAGAGAAGAAAAATGGAGGTTTCTCAAGGAAAGAGCCTGGTTTTGATCCACCTTCATCTGGATTTGGTGAGCTTTTCAGATGGGTTGGACTATGTTTTTTATTGCAATTGGGTTAGTTGGTGCCTTTATCCATGATTGTTCTTTGCCTCTGTTTCTAAGATTCTTGTCTTGTTAATTCTTTCGGTTTCAATGCCAACAATGTTGATATAAACATATATATGGAATATGGTCCGATGGCCACCATCATATATATGGTATGTATAATCAAATCTTTTTCTCCCTTCATACCATATATATATATATATATATGGTCAGACGACCACCAACATATACGTAGTATATGCTATGTATAATCAAATCCGTTTTCAAGAGAGAGTTAAATTTTTAGATATAAACCCATAAAAGCTAACCTATACAATTGACACACACACACACACACACACACACACACACATAAAGATCTACACGACCTTTGCCGCCGCCACCCGACCACCGCATCTTCACCCACAACCTTCGCCGCCACCACCGAGATGACAGGGTTGAAAGAGAGACAAGAATTGAATACAATACAGTCTTGATATTGATTGAAGGGCAAATACGTCACTTCAGAATTAGGATATTTTACCATTAAAATCAATTAAATATTGATGGGCAATTTTGTCTTTTCAAGCATTTTATCGCCTTGTTTGGATCAAAATTCTGACAAGGGGGTGTCTTTGTTCGGTTTAGCAAATCTGGGGGGTGACGCTGTCCAAACATAGCTTACGTTGTATCTACTTTTCTTTTAGGCAAACCAAAGGGGGTGTCCCTGCAATTTACCCTAAAAACAATGCAACTTAAGTTAGAAGGCATATGAGGACAATGGATGAAAAAAAAAAAAAAAAAGTGCATGGGAAGTTCTAATTTGAACTTGAATTGCTCTTTAAAGTATGGAAACTACACTTGATCAAAGACGTTGACTACCTTCTCCAACTGCCTGCATGGAAGATCTTGTGTATAAGGGGAGTCCTGATAGCTAAGACATGAAGTCATGTAAGAGCTGTGAAGGAGCTTAGATGGTCACAGATATGGTCCTAAGGCTTTTAAGGGCATATAATTAATTATAGAACATCTTGGTATTATGGAAAAACATGCATCAGGAGGCCTGTGCTCAATTTCTCAGTTTTAAAGACTCAAGCCACTGGATGCTTCAATGTGGTCATCTGCACTGAACCAGGAGTTGAATCATCCGAGGCACATTCGCATATACATGACATTGTATCTAAGGATCTCCTTTGAATAGCCTTGATGCTTGAGGCCATAATTCAGTTCAATCTATTGGACTTGTATACGGAAGAGGTAGAATGAGTTGCCGCGAACCACATATCATGAAGCAGAAGTAACCTATGGACATGCCTGTGCACCTAGGAGATTAGTCCCACCCAAAAGGTGAGAATACCCTTGATTATCAATACATATATGTATGTATGTATTTATATATATCGAACTCCCCTAAAGAAGGGAAGTTGGGATGGGACCATATTACCAGTGCTCCTGCATAATACTCGAAGAGTTTAAGCATTAACAGGCGTGACCTAGAACTTCTTTTTCATGGAGGCAAAAATAAATTAACAAAAGATTCAAATAAGGGTAGAGATTTAGAAACTCAAACCACAGGAAACCAAACTATAACATTTAAATGGATTGTATATAAATATATATATAGAAGGGATAGAGGCTTAACAAAATTTTTGGACCCCTAGGGCCTCCCATATGTCAACACTGAGCCTTAAAGATAACAAATAATTTCTTCCAATGTCATATAGTTGTACAAGGAGTTTTAGCTGGAGTCGAGCAATCGAATTCACATGCAATAAAGACCAATGGCTGTTTTGAAATCAATGGCTGCATGAACAAGAAGAATTGTAAGAACAAGGCAAATACCAAACAACATGATAGTTAGAGTGGCTGAAGAAATGAAGTGTTGCCCACTCCAAGTGGTGGGGTTATGGTAGTTGATTGCAACCAAATTCTGTGTCATATATCTACCACCCAAATCTTACTCTACACTAGAAGTTGGAAACTCAAACTGATATTATAAGTTTGATTATCATCCGGTAAGTTCATTCAAACTCGAAATGCTAGCAATTAGATTAAGTTTAACACATCAATTTATTTAATGGAAGCCGTCTAATTTCTATATTTCAAATAACTTAATCTTAAGACAAAATAAGTGCCTTTTCAAGAATCAAGATAGGAGAAAACATATTACTAGCAATCCTGGAGAGGGCAAAAAGTAGTAACACCTGTGAAAAGATCGAGTGGATTAAACTACGGGCATAGAACAGAGGGAGAGGAGCATGGAACTATCCATTTTCATTTTCTATTTACCTCTTCTTCCACGCATTTCAAAGCTTCAATCTTTGAAGCTTAAGCAATACAGTTAGTTACTGAGAAGTAATAGTGGTAAAGAAAGTAAGAAGCTTCATCTAATTAACTTTTGCACAGTTAATATTATGAGAAGGACAGTTGCCTTGTATATACTTTGTGAGAAGACTTCAACTAAGATAATGTGGTAGTTAAAACTTTGCATATCTTTATTCTTTTTGCTACCAATAATAAATGATCTAAAAGTCAAAAACAGAAGGATTGATTCCGTTAGTACCTAAACAAGAATCAGATCTAATGCCCATATCCCAAAAATATTTATTCTTCACATGTTCTGAAACAGACCATGGAGAAAATAGACCACAGAATTCAAACATCAAAATTTCCCAATCAGATATACATTAGCCATATGAATTTTCAAACAAAAATAATGACCAATTAATAATTATAATACCTCATTTTTCTATGACCAAAACAACCAATTCAATTTATTTGAACCTTAAAAGCATCCATATTTGCAAAAAGGCAACAACCCATGTGGAGAAACTAAATCTTGATCAAATTGGCATTTATAGATCCAATTTCATAGAACCCAAAGAAGAAATTAAGTACAAACTCCACAATTCAATTTATGGAAGAGACCACAATTATGGAATTTTGACTATTATATAAGGCTTGATATATATTCTCAGACAGAGAGAACTTTATAATCCCAATAGAAACATAACAAAAACACAAAAACAAGAAATACCCAATAATCAATCACCTCCATCCATAGACCACTTGGGTGTAAGTGTCCTTGATCCACCTGAAGCTCTTCCTCAGAGAACCCTTCATCTTACCCTCCACTGAATAGACCTTATAGCTAGCAACCCTCTTCTTCCTCTGCAACTCTGGATCACTCAGGCTCCAATTCTTTGAAGTGGACCCCACACTGCTCTTCCCTTTCTTCATCTTCACCTCCTTTCCCATCTGAGGTGGTGGCTGTGAAGATGAAGCATAAGAAGTACTGTAACTCCTCAGATCATTCATGCTAGTTGGAGCTGGTCTACCTCCATAGTAGCTCTCTATCTGCATCCTATCTTCCCTCCATGACTTAGATCTATAATCCTCCATCACAAGTAGAGAGAGAGAGAGAGAGAGAGAGAGAGAGAGAGAGAGGAGGGGGGGAGAAAGGAAAGGGAAATTGGGGTTTTCTTTTATTTGTGGTTTGTTGTTGATTTTGATGAACTGGGGAATTGGGGAATTGCCCGAGTTGGGAGGTGGCTTTAGTCTTTATTTGATGCTTTGATGTTGCAATAGGAGGTTGCTGAGCTCTGAAATGGTCTATGATGGTTGGCTGCCACGTGGAAAGGTTCAAGTTGACCGTTAAAATACAAAAGTAAAAGATAGAAAAAAACACAGCTTCATGTTGAATGTCATTGTTAGCAGAAATGATTTTAGATCATGTCGGTATGTCACTCTTAACCATTTATTTGAAAGGAGGAGACTTTTGGAAATGCACCCCATTTTTTTTTTAATGATGCTGTTGATTTGGTACAGAACAAAATCATATGGCATGTGCTTGGAAGACACGGCTCCAATAAATAGTTTTACAATTTTGGTTTAATTTGGATTGAAAACTCTCAACTTAAAATTTAATTAGATATATTTCGAAAATAAAATAAAATTAGATTTTTTAATAATTTAATTAGATTTAAATTATAAAATTAAAATATGATTGGATTGGATTGCAACTCAAGCTCAATCAAAATTCTAATTTTATTTTAAAAGTTAAATTCACTAATACGTTTCAGGTTTGACCAAATATCATATTGAAATAACTTACGAATATTTTTTAGGATAAACTACGTTAAATCTCCCTTTTCTATCTGTGTTTTTCATTAAACTCCCTTTTTTTTATTTTTTTTGCCAAAAAACCCCCCCTCAACTATTTAAGGGGGGTGATTTAACTAACGGGAGTTAGTGGAAAGATAATTGAAATATAAATTGACTTAAATACCCATTAAAGCCTATTTGAAAAATCTACTTTGCTTTTTGTTCTTATTTATCTATTAAATAACCTAAACAACATCATTCACAGAAATTAACACTTCTATTGTGTTTTTTTGTTTTAACATTTTACTAGACTGACAAGTTCACATCAGTCACATGGAAGGAATTCTTTTTTTATATATAGAAAAAAATGATATTGAAATATTAAAAAAAAAAAAAAAAAAAAAAAAGAAGAAGAAGAAGAAGAAGAAGAAAACATGTAGGCATAAATATTAATATAAAAATGAAAAAAAATTAGACATTATTTCTTGTAGTGTCCCTTTAATAAATCTATATAAAATGAAAATCAATAAAAATCAAATAAATAAATGCACAATATAATTCTCAAATATATATATATATATATATATAGCAGATAAATTTCAAGAGAAAAACCAAAATTTATATTGATCTGAAGGCTAGATGGAAATGAAAATATAGTATAAATAATATTTAATTGTACATATTATATATACCATTATATTATGATACAAATTATATATAATATTATAATGATGAAAGAGTACGTGTTGTTGCAATGGTGGAATATATGCAGCTAAGAGCGATAATGGAGTAGATATACATGTGAGGGTATATTAAAATAGGTACAAGGACATTTTTGTCTAAAAAATATATGTGAAACTAAATATCCAAACAGCTCCCTTTTAGCTAACTTCCATTTGTTAAATCACCCCCCTCGAATAGTTGAGAGGGGTTTATTAACAAAAAAAAAAAAAAAAAAGGATTTAGTGAAAAACACAGATAGAAAAGGGGGGTTTAATGTAGTTCACTCTATTTTTTATATGTAAAATGACATTATTACCTTTTTAAATTTTGTTGAATTAAAAAAGAGTTCAAATGACTTCCATAGCCTTTGACTTTAAATATATAATTATTTATAAATAAATATATATATATATATATATATATATATATATATCCTTATATATAACACAACTCATCATAAAAATCCAATGGAATGTCCATTCCAACAATTCCTTTGTTTGGTATGTAATTTAAAGTGTGAATGGTCATTCTATTGGAACGAAAATTTATTCTATAACTAAACCTATGGAATGGCCATTCCATTCCCAAGTAAACCTCATGTCCAAGTTCAAAAATCATCACCACCTCCACCTTTCACCACTATCATTGTCTTCCACCACCACCACTGCCACCGACTTTCACCATCGCCCACGTTTTCCACCACCACCACATATCGCCACCGTTTTTCACCACTGTTACCACCAGCATTACCTTTCACTACTGCCACCACTTTCCACCACCACCACTACAGCCTTCCACCGCCGCCACCTCCATCGCTTTTCACCACCGCTACCACCTTCTACCACTATCGCCACCGCCTTTCACCATCACTACCACCTTCCACCACCGCCTTTTACCACTGCCACTGCAACCGCCACCGCCTTCCATTACCGTTGTCTTCCATCACCATCACCTTACACCATCACCGCCATCGCCTTCCACCACCACCACCGCCTTCTACCACCACCATTACCACCGCTGTTTTCCACCACCGCCGCCACCATCTCCTTCCACCACCACCGCTGCCGCCGCCATCGCCTTCCTCTACCACTGCCCCCGCCACCACTATCGCCGCCTCCATCTTCCACCACCACTATTGCTACCACCTTCCACCACCACCAGTCACTTCCATTAGTTTCCACCATCGCTACTTATACCACTATATTTTCCACCACCACCACCACACTACTGCCACCGCCTTCCACCAACACTACTGCCGCCTTCCACCACCACTACCGCCGCCTTCCACCACCGCAACCACCGTCGCCTTCCAACACCACCACCTACACCACTACCGCTTTCCTCCTCCACCACCACCACCACTGCCACCATTTATTTTAAAAAAATTATTAGAGAATGTCATTTTGTTAATTTAATTATTTGTTACTAAGAGGGTTATTATTGAGAATTCAATTTAAAATTTATTCCATTTATAAATTTTAAATTGGTCCAACCAAACACTAGAATAGTTATTATCATTTCATTCATATACATTTCATATTTACAACCAAACAATTCTCATTCTATTCCCATTTAATTCAATTCATGCATACCAAATGGAGCATAAAAGTTCTTACTACCAGCACTTCTTTCTCTATGAAATAATCATAGAAGTAATGAAATCTACGGTTTTTAAATTGAGAGTCAAACTTGAGATCAAATCAAACGGTAGCTTATCTAATTGGAAGTTGCCTGTAGCACCCTTTTCTTTTCCAGTAACCTGCTTCCACCCTTTTTCAACTGGCATAGAATTCAACCTCGCCATTATTGACTTTATTAAGGCTTTCAATTATAGGAATTTTTTATTTTTTATTATTATTTTTATTTTCCAGATGAAGAGCATGGGATGATGTTATTTTACAGTTGAAGGAAATGGGTATTAATGATTAGGGTTTGCACCGATAAGAAGATGATGATGATTATGATGATACAAAGTGGGTTTATAATTCGGATGGCTTTTTGTTACTTTACAATTGATGATGAAAAATATGACATGAACTAACACAACTAATCAATCAATAATAGGTTTGGGTATTGTTCCTTCATTCACAAGTGGATAAAATTTAGGGTATTTTAGTCTTTTCAATTTTTTAATATTTTTGGAATAAAAAAACATTAAACAGTTTAGGATAAAATTGTCATTTTGCATATTTTGCACATTTTTAATCGTGTCATTGACGAAAAAGAAAGATATTTGGGGTTTGATAGTATTTTTCGAAAGATATTTTAATGTGATATTTGGTCAAACCTGAGGGGAGTGAACAAAATTAACCCTTATTTTAAAGGGTAAAGTGCAAATAACCCCCCTAAACTTTCAGCCAATTGCACAAAACCCCCCTGAATTAACAATTGCCCCCCTGAACTATGATAAAGTTGCAGTTAAGGACATCAGGTGAGGTTCCGGCACCGGAAAAAGAAGATTACAATATTACCCTTAAGTGAAACTACGTCATATTGGTATTGTCTTAACTCAAATCTTAATCATCCAATAGAATTGTGACAACACATCATTACCTTATCACCTCATCTTTGTTACCACCAAACACGGCCTTATACGCAAGGCTTTTTCTCTCTAAGCTCTATTTTTCCCATCGTTGATGACATTTGTCGACTAAAAAGGTTTCGCCTGGTCTATATGATGCTCACCAAAAAGGTTTGTTGACGAAGGTTGACGATGTTGAGAACGGCAAGGTTGACGAGACCTCGTTGCCGACGACGGGAACAGTCTCTTCACGGCGTCGCAGAATCACTTCTCGCCGCCAATGCCCACTACTTCATCACCATGTTCATTCGACGTCGGTGGGAACCTTCCTTGGCGCTTCCGGAATTGTGACCCATCTAATTGAATACAGTTGATTTAATACATACATCCAAAACTCAAATAACCCATCACTCATTGTTGTGATTCTATAGATACATCTGAACTCAAATCCATACACAGTGGATTTAATACATACACAGAGGAGAGGAATCGACGACGCAAATTTTTCAAGCCGCTATTACGAAGATAAGAGGAACCGACGAGAACAGTCTCTTCACTGCGTCGCAGAAGGCGATGGGATCGGCGGCGTGCAAACATGTCGGTCGATGCCAACGCCAACGCCGGATCCGTCGCCGCTGTGCCAGTCACTGATTTGATCGGAATCACAACTTCTCTAGTCGCTGTTCTGCACCGCCGAGCTCTCTCTCGCTCGCTGGTTGCCATCACCTTCACCCCTCTCTCTCTTACTCTGCAGCTATGATGATGATCGATGCAATTTTTGGCTGATTTGGGTTTTGAGGCGCTGAAACCGCATTATCGAAACCATTGGTAAAGTTTTCAGAAATTGAATTGATTATTTTTGGATCCAAATCGCTTGAATTGAGGGCAATTTTAGGGTTATGAGGTACTGAAATTGAATGGTGAGAGTGAGTAGTCAAAAAAAGATAAGCAAAGTGGACTTGAATGGTATCTGAAAGGCAAGAGTTTTGGCTGTTTTCCTTGGCTATGAGTTTTGGTGGTGTTTGGTGATGAAGATAAAAAATGGGTTTGTTTTTTAGTCCTGTTGAGAGAGTTCTTTGCTGATGGTGATTCCATGGTGTTGATGCCGGCCGCGGGAAAGAGAGAGGACAGAGATGACAGAGGAGTGAGAGAAACCAGAACAATGAGACTAAGACCCAGTCACGGTGACCATCCAGTGAGCTCCAAGACATGCGTGCGACTCCGGTGAACAAATGACGAGCTCTGTTCATCTTCTTCTGGTAAGCTTGGTCTGACCTAGCAGTGAGTTCTAGTCCGGCAGTCGAACACTTTGTTCGTCGTCTTACTCCTTTCTCTCTCGAGTTTTTACCCCTTTCTTTATATTACTATATACATACAGCGACCCACCCACCACCGCCGTCAATTTGGGAATGGAGAGAGAAGCCAAGGATATTGTTCTGACCGATGAGTAGATATATGAATGTGCTCGGGAAGACTACACTGTACGGCAGCGACTGCCGACGGCTATGTAAGAATTTTTTTTGATTTTTTATACTTTTATAATCATAAAGGGCTATTTTGTCATTTTTTATTTTCTGTAATCGCGCGTGAATAACACACCCCCATTTAATGGTGAGAAATAGCCAAAACTTCGCCGGTGGGCATTTTTTGCAAAAAAATTGATAGTTCAGCGGGTTAACTGTAAAAAAAATAGTTCAGGGGGGTTTTTAAGGAAAGAAAGTAAAGTTCAGGGGGGTTATTTGCACTTTACCCTATTTTAAATATACACTCCCTCTTCCCAAGTCGGATGGTTGTAGTGGTTGTACCACCATTGGTGAAGAAAAGTAGACATTGCTTAGTGTTTAAGAACTTATCTATGACTCCGTCCCAATTTAAGTGTCATTTTTGGGAAGTATAAATTTTGAAGGGAACATGTGAGACATGCATTGTCTCCATAAAATTAGTTTTGAATATTCAAGTTTAAAATTTTAAATTTCAAAAACATGTATGAAAATATATAAAATATATTGTTTGAAAAAGAAAAGTGAATATTTTTCAAAATATTGTTTGAAAAATAATTATTTTGGGATACTCCAAGAAAGATGAGCATTCTTTTTTAGGATGGAGGAGTAATTTTTAATTAAAATTTAATTAATTAAAAACATATATAATGCATTTAATATATATATATATATATATATATATATATATATATATATATATATATATATATATATAATTGGGTTGTTAACATTTCAATCTAAGTCCAACTCTAATTAACATAGGCCTAAGATTTTTCAATTGAATTCAATTCTAATTGTAAAAATAATTGTCCGAGCCTATAAAAAATCGAATTGCTCTCAGGTTAGGTTCGAGTTGTAGTATTTGATTTGTGACAGATTCATTTTTGATGAAATTTCTGAGTAACCAGTACAAGAACATGCGATAAGATGAATAATTATTTTGTACAAAATAATGTTAAAAAATTAAATTCGTTTTAAAATCATGCACATGCGTGATTAATTAGTAGGAGGCTTTATAAGAACGTAGTTGAATGTTAATTGTTTGGAGAATTTGCAAGCACGAGAGAGCGTACGCCATTCAACCTTTTTAACCATCAATCCAATAAAACCTTTTTTTTAAATCTTTTTGACCCGATCACATAAATTTTGTTTTGTTATTTATTAATATATATATATATATATATATATATATATATATATATGTGTGTGTGTGTGTGTGTGTGTGTGTAGATAGAGAGAGAGAGAGAGGAAATTGTAGTGTGAAGTGAAACACCAAAACTTCCCAAACCCAAAAATGGTGAGGCCAATGTTACAAAATCCAAGAGGTAAAATCACCACCTAGGCCAATGTTACACATCGGAACATTCGACAAAATCCAAGAAGTAAAATCACCACCTAGGCCAATGTTACACATCGGAACGTTCGACAAAATCCATATTTGTATTGTGCAGAGGTGGTTTTCAGCCAAGGCGGACATCAGAAGACGGAGTTACAGATAGTTGCAAAATAGAAGAGAATGATAATTTAGGTTGAATTGTTGACCACATCCAACTTGGGGAAGACAATGATCATCTACTTTCTGATGAATAAATCAGTGCCGTTTATTGTTTGGCACAATCTTTGATCGACAATTTTTTTTATTAAATTATTATTATTATGTAATAAATGAACCATTAGCTGTGATGTGGACCTGGAGCTCATGGCATGTCTCGTTTGTACTTGAATGGAAGTGGAATGGGTCGAATAGTATGATTGGGTTAGGAAGATATATATAATATATAACCAACCCAGCAAGACAGTCCAAATTACAAAGATAAGACCTAACATGGTAGGCCCCAAATCTTTATATATATATATAATTGGATCACAAAGATTGCATAAGATGGAACACAAGCTCATTGAAGGTGCATCAACACACAAATTACTATATAGAAAAAGAGAGCATAACACTTTCAATTTATTAAAGCGTTTAAAATGTTGGGCATTGAAAAATATTATCGACAGCATTTGGCCAACCACCATTTCAGAACTAACTTGAAAATGAGACACAGAAAAAGATGGATGTTGATATGTTTTTAAAAATAATAATAATAAAAAATCTGTTTTTTATTTTCTTCTATTTTACTGTAACTTTTTTTGGATGGTATTAACTGTGGACTATCAAACCATATCTTACCATTTATTTCTTCAAGTCGCCAGCAAAAATCTCTCAGAAACTGACCCCAAAAAAAGGCTTTCAACCAAATAAGTATGTTTAACAATCATCTCCTAAAATACAAAACTATAGCCAACACCATTCATATGAGAGAATTATACAAGTTTTAAACAACCCCATTCATATAAGAACCTACACGTGATGCCTTTTGATCAACCTAAAATTTCACCTTTTTTATGTTACTAAAAATTATTCTCTCTTTATGTTATTCAATTTCTTCGCCAATCCTAATGAACTTAAAAGGGTGTTACACCCATTGCCAATTGATTAACCATTCCTATTCCAAAACCCAAACTTCACCACAAAAAGTCATTTTCAAGATTTAAAAAGGCACCATTTGAGCCTGAACCAACGGTACTGAGATTGTCTGATTTTCCAAGAGCCTCTATACCTTAATCAAATTCATTTTTCAATACCTGTTGCCACTATTTAGATACCAAGTCAGTATACAATGATCAAACACACACAAAAATAAATAAATTAATAAATGTGAGAAAAAGGTTTGGATACAAGACTACTAATTTATGCATACCATTATTGGGTACCCTTTGTTTTTATGCAATCAACACTCTCTCTCTCTCAATCAACACACACACTCTCTCTCTCCCTTCTCAATCAGCCATCTCCTGGATTGCATGCGATTTATAAGAAATGCAGCCGTCATCACCCCAAAAACATAAAATTTTGGGAACACGCAAAGCAAAGCGTACTCATTTCAAAAATGAAAAAGTTAAATAAAGCTGACATAAAGTTTAAAAATGAAAAAGTTAACTTTGTCAAAAATGAGAGAGTTAAATAAAGCTAACATAAAGTTTAAACATATATTTACGTGTCATTCAATAATTGTCCCGAGAACATTGGTCCCCGAAGCATGTAATAATTTCTCAACAGAGAGAAACAAGACCTTAAAGGTCCAGGTATCCACACAATCTTTCATTTCAGCAGATCAAGTTTTAAAAGCAAATATAAGAAATAATGCACAAATAGGAATCACTACTATGTCTCAGTTATGCACGATTTGATAGTGTCAACCAACAAATTCCAAATTGTTACATAATATCAACCTAAGACACCTGGTTTCAGAATCATGTCAATCCTAGGACAACGCTAGAGGGATTCTCACAATGAAAATTTCTGAAATTTTTCATGAACCACTCAACATGTCAAGTTACATTGATTTCCCTTCTCTGCTGATATATAATGATATAGAATCGTACCAGGGTCCAAAATATATCAATTTCGTACTTCAAACACATCCTTAAAATCATTTAAGTTAATAACCACTATTTTCAGGACTATAGCTACATCAAAATATGGGGTAGTTTTTTAATCGGTCCATATCGGACCACACAGCCCCCCTGCTGGCTGATCCAATCTGGACCATCCAAAAAAATACAGTAAATACTGCATTATAGAGGATCCTGATTCCATCTTTTCTACCCTCTTATAGATCCATCTTGTTGCTAACGTAGCAACTGGCCTGATGTAACATAATAGCACTGAATTCAGGATTCTGTAGTTACAAAGACCTGCTGGGGTGATCAAAGATCTTGTACTAACATGGTTCATAAAAGAAAATTTCCTTATGCAAGCTATCACAATTTTAGACCATCTTCAACTAAAAAAAACTCTAATGTAATCTTCATGTTCCATGGGTCCCTTAATGAAAACAATAACACCTTTGCCATACAGGTCAAAACTGTGTTCTTTCTTATATTTAATATGTTCCATCTTTAAATTCTATATACAACGTTGTATATATGTATTCTTCATAACGGAGTTTAACAAAAAGAACAAGATAAAGTAAAAAATAAAAAAACCTTAACACACTGGTGAACACTTGAATACTAAAATCCTTTTCACTAAAAAATGTACGAAAAAAAAAAAAAAAAAAAAAACCCATAAATCAGGATGCATAACATTTTGGGTGCATTTAGCCAGACAGAGAGCACTGATGGATCATTCACCATGTCTATTACCTGCATAGGCAATTCAAATCCACCAACCCAAACCTCCACCCCTCCCTTCTCAGGAGAAAGAAAAAGATCAGAAAAGAAAATCCAACTATTTCCCCCAAAATACCTTGAATTTGTCAAGTCCACAATTGGTAATACATGTTTTTGACAATTCTAAAAAATGATATCTACGAACAATTTAACTCTTGATAGTTGATTCCAAGCACCCCACATCATTCCCAACAAAATGAACCAACACCAGTAATGCCAATGGAGACAATTGTTAATAAAATATCTAAGAACAATAAAGCAACCAATGAATAAAATATAATTGCAGGATTTAAAAAAATGGACAAAATTGTCAAGTCCATTAGAATACTCTCATCAAATAAAGCAGCCAATGAACAAAATATACTTGCAAGAGGCAGAAAAGTGAGGTAGGTTTAGTCACTAATACAGATAAATATATATATATATCATCCCATATATCATCTTTCTATCGTTGAAAATTAAGCTTATGACATAAAGAAACCAAGTAACTACAACCGTCAGATACTTAAATCCAAAAAAGAAAGGGAAAAAAAACAAAAGGACATAAAATACAAAACCTACCTGCAACAAAACTTGCAATAATATAAGCCGCCACCAGAGTGTGATGGGCAACTTGACACTCACCACCCACCCTGATGCAAATGAGCAGGACACATCATTAGATGGTCAGTTAAAAAAAACAAAAAAATTTAACATTAAAGAAAACACTGACCAAAAAAAAAAAAAACTAATACTTGCATTATAATAACCCATTACCTCAGGGAACCTAGTAAAAACTCATCAGAGGAGGTCAGCAACATTGGATGGCAGCTCTTCAATTACCACATTATAGAACTTCTGAATGTCAAACAGCATTCTCTCATCTTCTTTAGTTACAAAATTAATAGCAACACCTTTTCTTCCAAACCGTCCACTTCGTCCTATACGGTGGAGGTAATTTTCTGGCTGAGTCGGCAGATCAAAGTTTATGACAAGGGAGACTTGCTGCACGTCAATACCACGGGCCAAGAGGTCAGTGGTTATGAGAACACGAGAGGAACCAGAGCGAAATTCGCGCATAATTATATCCCGAGTATTCTGATCCATGTCTCCATGGGTGGCAGAGACTGTGTGGTCACGGCTTCGCATTTTATCAGTGAGCCAGTCAACCTTGCGCCTGGTGTTCACAAAAATGACACTCTGAGTGATAGCCAGGGTCTCGTATAGATCACAGAGTGTTTCAAGCTTCCACTCTTCCTTTTCAACGTTAACATGAAACTGCTTAATACCCTCAAGGGTCAGCTCATCACGTTTCACCAGGATCCTCACGGGCTTGTTCATAAACTTCCTGGTAATTTCGAGTGCTTCAGGTGGCATTGTGGCAGAGAAAACCCCGACTTGAACTTTAGATGGCAGCAGCCGGAAAATGTCATAGATCTGACAGCACAAAAACCCAACATCAATAAAGAAAATATCAACAGCCCAACAAAAATTCAGGCAGATTGAATTATTGTGAACAAATACAATAAGGGAACAAAACTAATCTATTGACCCAAGCAAACAGAAGAGCATGAATGCACGATCACAAACATATTTGTTGATTTCTCTCAATACAGATTGCCTTGTTATGGTATTTCTGTGAGCTTATATTTGAGAAATATTTTTTTGTCTAATTCAGTTAAGGACTTCCATAAACTAAGATCAGTATTTAGTTAAGATATAAGGGAAGAGGAAGTTTTGGTGGTATGGAAAATGACAATGATCTGTGAAAAAAATAAAAAAGAGAGTGTAGTTAAAATATAAGGTAAGAGACAAAGAGGCAGACCGAAACTAATATGAGATGAACCAATAAGAAAAGACCTTAAGAAATTAAATATAATAGGAGACACCTAATAGAAATGAGTGACAACAAAGGATACATGTGACCAACCCCATTGATCCCATGAGGCAAGGATAATAATGATGATGTTTTACAGGACTATATTGCTACTTTGACTAAATTTGGTTTCCTTCACTTTATCTAGTCTATTCCTACTCCAATATTAATATAAATAGGTAAATAATATGAGATAAAATGAAGAAATTGAATCACCTGATCCTTGAAACCTCGTGAAAGCATTTCATCGGCCTCATCCAACACAAACATCCTAATGTAATCAGGCCTAAGTGACTGTCTTCGCAACATGTCGAACACACGACCAGGGGTGCCAACGACAACATGAACACCGCTTGAAAGAATTCGTTGATCCTCACGAACACTGGTCCCACCTACACAAGCATGAACCTTCACGCCAAGATAATCACCAAGTGCTCGCATAACTTTCTCAATCTGTTGTGCAAGTTCTCGAGTGGGCGCCAAAACCAATGCCTGGCATTGGACTACACCATAATCAAGTTGCTGCAAGATTCCAGAGCAGAAGGTTGCTGTTTTCCCTGTTCCAGACTGAGCTTGCTGAATAACATCAAGGCCTTTGCAGAATGGAACAATTCCCCTTTGCTGGATGGCAGAAGGCTTCTCAAAACCTTAGAAAGAAACACAGAAGAGTACATTCAGCATATCTAAGCAGGATACACTCGACTAAACAAGGTAACCCAACACTTCATAATTTTGCATATTGTCAATGTAAGCAATGGAAAAACATCTTGCAGAACCAAATAAAAAAATAAAGTTCTCAGAAAGATCCAACCACTGGTTAAGAACAATGTCAAGGCTGTTAGAGTCACCCTAGACGACATATATCCCATAAACTGGTAAGGCAACAAGAAGTTCAATTCACAATTTTTAAACTGTAAAACAGCTTCTGAAGCTTTTCCGCATGAGGTTGCGACAGTCATCTTAGAAGACAGGTCGATGAATTGGTAAGGAAACATGAAACTTCAATAAACAAATTTTTTTTTTTTTTTTTTTATAAGCACGATTTTATTATAAATTGTTCAAACGGAAACGTATCCAAAAGCTACAAAAGGCCAAACAGGGCCCCTAAACTCTCTGAGAGTTAAAAAAAACAACTTCGAAGTTGAAAAACAGCCCGAAAATACTTGCCGTAAGCATAGATGCCCCTCAGGAGGTTCTCTTGGAGTCCCATAGCATCAAAACTGTCATAAACCTCATCATATGATGTGAAGAAATCTTGTCCATCAGCTGAGAGTCTACACCAATAAATTAATCAAAACAAGCATAAATGTTACCATCCACAACTGAAAAGTATATATATAGATGTTAAATTTTTTTAAAATAGAGTCACTAGACAACTTAATAAGTATAGGGAAAAGCAGGTGAAAGAGGAACTTACAATTCACTCATTTTGGCATCAAATTGACGAGCATCAAATTGTGATCCTTCTGGTGCCAAAGCTGCCATGACTGTAACCAGAACACCATATATAATATCAAGTTAATTGAGGTCCTCAGAGAGATGAGGCAATAAAGGGTAATACTTTGCCCGAAAGATATTTGAGTTATGGAGTCAATTATTCGTTTGCAAAAGGCCAAAGGTAGTCTTTGTGGGCCAACGAGATTTTTCATTGAGAACTTTATACCCTGATGAGTTATGTACTCTCAGTTTCTTTCAATTTAGTTCTCACTGCCTATACCATTCAAAAAGGCCAAAGAGTAGTTTAATGGGCCTCAAAATAATCACTATTTAGGAGATATACAGATACAATATATATATATAACCATGTATGTGTATGGGCAGACACGCGTATTACAGAATGGTTATCATGTACATATAGCTCAATTATGCTCCTAAACAGCCAGTTAATAGTCAAACATCGCATGTCTCCCAATCAGAACACATACAAACCTTTCCATCAAACAGTTATAAGAACTTGGACCATGCCATTATTCTGGAACTATTTAGCCCATGCTTATAAAGATTAAAAGATTTTCACTTTCAACATCATCAATTCCTATCACTCTCCATTCAAATTGCTTCACAAATCAATTTACCACGCTAAAAAGAATCCAATTTCATATGTTTTCCAGAAACTAACAGATTCCATTCATTAAGCCCATAAGCATTCAAAGGTTCAATTAATCAAATCCCACTATCCAGCTTCAATTAGGTAAGTAATTCGAAGTTTTTCAAAACAACACAAAACCTAAAGATCCAAACTTTCCCTTTCTTTACCTTCCTAATAGTAAGTTTTCTCAGCAGACAAACAGAGGATTAAATAAAACCATAATCATGCACACACATAAAACAGAAACAAATTTCAGATCATGTATGTAATCAAACAACGTATAGATCGATCCATATGAAACAGTACAAAAGTGAGTGGAGAGGATGATAGAAGACGAACCTGCAAATGATGAGAGAGAGATTGGTGATGATTGGTTTAGAGGGAGAAAGTTGGGGAGCTTGTGCGGTTCGGATGAAAAACTAGGGTTTCTCAACTCCTAGGATCTGCACCTGGAGTTGAAGGAAGAACACAATTAGAGAGAGAGAATAGATAGAGAGAGAATGCGGAAACAGAATTGGAAAGGAGAGAAGTTCTCGTATTATATCAAAGTTCGACGAATGCCCTTGTCCTTGTCCCACCCCACCAATATTACTGGTTTTCCGAATTTACCCTTCCTGTTAAAGTCGAGTTGCTGTTGTAATTACCAACATAAAAATAAAAAGTGTTTTTATATTATTTAAAATAATACTATTAAATTTTACATAACTTTTTAATGAATTATTAATAATTTTGATAATAATAGAACTTTATAAACTAAGGGATACAATTGTCTTTTAAAAAGATATAAATGAATAAAATTGTTTAAGGAAAAACAATTACTTACTACGTAAAAACTCTACTCAAAAAGTTTTAAATTTTAACTTCTTTGAAAAAAATTTCAGAGCATCTCCAATGGTAAAATGCTAAATTCGAATGCCAAATCTATATTTTGACAGTGTTATAGTGTCAAAATACTACATTTTAGCAATTCTACTTCAATGATGCATTTTATGCAAAATGGTATTTTTTGACACAACCACTATTCTTTTCAATTACCATTCACACCATTTATATTTGCATAAGTAATGTCAATATTAGGTACATTTCAACTCAAATTGTAAACATTAGAAAGAAAACTAAAATTAAACTTAATTAAAAAGAATCAAAAATCTAATATATCTGGTCAAAAAAAGACCAAAAATATATATATATACATATATAAATATATATATATATGTATAAATTTATATATTTGATTATATTATTAAATAAATTTTTTTATATAATTTTTTATTCTTTTTCAAAAATTTATATTATACATATATATATATATATATATTTAGGGCAAATCATTTCAGCCTCCCAAATATATATAGTTTTAGGGCAAATCGTTTCACAACTCTGAAATTGCCCTCTCTCTCTCTCCAACTGCAATTAGAAGTTCAAAACCCATATCTTTTAGATTCCATCGCCCGCTGTTCTAGTTCGGGTTTGTCGTTCGCAAGCTTCAGCCGCTATCTCTCAACTCTCAAGCTTGCCCCCTCTCTCTCTCTCTACAATTGCTAACTCGTATGTATGGGTTCTGTTTTAATTTTTTTTCTAAATCAACTAATCAAGGTTTATAATTCTTGTTTTGCGTCCTATTTGGTGAAATCAACTAAATAGCAGTAGCCATTTCTTATGCTAGATTTGGCACCAAAAATGACAAAGCCAAATTTTGACCGGTCATATAACATGCTATTGAAAATCACAATTTTAACTCACCTGCTATATTTTGAATTGGCAGCTCATATTACAGGTGGATTGGAGATGCCCTCATTAAAATCTCTATGATTTAAAAGTTTATTTTTTTTGTTCTTAATAAACTAATTTTTTTTAATTAAAAAATCTTTTTAAGACAAAATTATTTTAAAATAACGTTTATTTTTAACAATAAAAGCGTTTTTAAGTGGTTTAAAGTAATTCCAAGTGCATTCAAACCTGAAAATTTGGAGTTTTCTATTTCGTTTTTGGGTTGTTAATTACACGGTTTTTCTTTTGTTTTTAAAATTTGAATGGACCTTTTTCCATGGTTCTTTTGTTTTTAAAATCTACATGGACCTTTTTCCACGGGTAACAACGTGCTATTTAGCACTCTCAATATCCGACTGGTAAATATATATATATATATATTAATATCATAAAACTAATGGAATAAAAGTGAATAAGATTTATCCATCAAAGAGTTCTCAGATGCATAATGCGGTTGAGATTCTGAAGGTAATCGCACCCTAACTTAAATGGTGTATTTTTTTTGGTACATACATGTGCTCTTAAGGAAAAAATAAATAAAAATTTATCAATCAAATAAACTTGTGCCCAAATTCATTTTAATTCCATTAAATATGTTTGATTTTTCTTAGATTACACTTCAATATGACACATTAATTTGTTTTGTGTGTGAATATATATATATATATATATATATATATATATATATGAGTCAAGTTCAAAAAAAAAAAAAAAAACTTAGTGCATATCATACCTCTCTTATTAAAGTTTCAATTTGTGCAAATATATATCTCCGGACACATTTAAGGTAAAGTTTACCTAAATTGCTTATTTAAAAATACATATTGTGAAATGATGAAATTGGACACAAAACAAAATGAACGGTAATTTAGCACATGAGGAGTGTGATACACACTTTAAGCATATTATAGTAGTGCTTCATGCAAAGTGTTTTATTGCACAAAATGTATATATATATTACATTTGTGAAAATTTATTGCAAATTGTAAAGTTTAAAAAATTAAATGTATACTCCTATTTTATATATATAATGAATAAGTATCTTTAAATGATAACTGTATTAAATTTTAATTAAGAATATTTTTTTATAATTATAAAAATAACTGAAATTTTCATTGCATGTGATATATTCTCCGTTAATGTGATAACAAATATATATATATATATATATATATATATATATATATATATATATATATATATATATATTAGAACTTTCTAATTTATTTTTATTTTTATTTCTATCTTTGTTTGACTAGTAAAAGAAATATATATATTAGAACTTTCTAATTTATAAGTGATATTAAGTTATAAGAAATGTATAATTCTCAACTCAAAAATAGATAATATATATCATGAATAAATAAGTCATTTATCAGCTAGATTCAAATTTTGATTTTAAATTTCACTCATATTTGAATTAGTGGTTTAACATTTTACTTAAACTCCAACTATCAAATTTTTTTGGTTATAATACTTTTGAGATATTAAATGATTATGCTACCCCTTTTGACTTTATATTGACTTTGTTCTATGTGTAAAATGACTTAACTACCAAGAGACTTATTTTAAATTACCAAATTATTTTAAAATCTAACCCTCTTCTTCTTCTCACTAAAAGTTTATATATTTATACAGCAATAGACTTTGTCTGCAAGTGCCTGTCTTCAGTGACAAATGTATGGCTAGGACCCTTTACATGATAATGATTTTAGCATAAGGGTGTGTTTGGTTGGCTTGATTTGGAGGGATAGGGAGAGAAAAGGAAAAAAAGGATAATGTGAAGGTGTGTTTGGATAGGTTAAGTAGAGGGATAGGGAGGGATGGGATAGCTTCTCTCCCAATTTGAGAAGATAGGGAAAGAAAGGATATGGGAATAAGTTGTAAAGTGCTAATACCAAAAATGCCCTTTAGAAATCAACATACTAAAATGTAATTCCATTCATGTCCCAATTATATATTATTCTTACTAAGGCAACTGGGCAAATGGGCATGATTAGAATTAGAATCAGAATCAGGAGGAGGAGAGGAACAACACGACACTGATGAACAGATCAAACACATATAGAGTCTGCCTTGATACCCAGAACATAAACTGCATCTGGGCATCTCTGATTTGGTTATGTCAATGGTTGTTCTACCATTTGGGGCTGTTTTGAGCCACTTTTATAGCCACTAAGCCCATGCTTCAGCTTCAAATCTACAAGGTGCTTGCAAGGCTTCGGGATTATGTAGGAGGAGGGCATGTTGATAGAGATTAAAAGAGGTTTTATTAGATTTATAGCAAGTATATCAAACAAATATGAAAAAATCTTAATAATACGTACTACTAATTAGTAACGAAAAAAATAAATCAATCAATCAATAATAACAAAAAAGAATGAAAAAATAATATTATTATTATGGAGAGTACGAATTGAATTAGATTAATTTGAGGTTGGATTGAAGCTTGAGATGGGTTTGGATTTATTTGGTGGATTTATTTATTTGAATATAATCCACCAAAGAAACACATTTAATTTTAATGACCTGTAAGGGTAGGATAGTAATTTGGTCACTATCTTTTCTTTTCTTTTCTCTCCTCTATCTTATCCAAACAAGAATAACTATTTTTTCTTTTCTTTTCTCTCCTATCTATCCAAACATGAATAAAAATTATTGCTATCATTTCTTTTCTTTTCTTTTCTCTCCTAACTAATACTATCATTTCTTTTCTTTTCTCCTCTATTTATCCAAACACATCATAAATAAACTGTTTGTTTTGTGTATATTAATATTCCAGAATACAGCATGAATGTTGAATCCAATCTTAAGTATTATCTAGAAAATGGTCTTTGAATTGCATTTACTGTTTTTTGAAATATGACATTTTCTTCTTAGAACCAGAATTGAAATCAGTTCAAATTTTATACTTATGTTACTAATAACTCAATTCCAAAAAAAAAAAAAAAAATAGTTGGATGATTAATTATACTAAAGAAACCAACAAATTTTCAAAAAGACAATTTTGCATAAAACTGATTTTCAGATAAAACTGTAGGTTGGTACATCAATATGATAAATGGTCAGACAATCAAAGTAAGTAATAGTGGGACAAATTGAGATTAAAGTGGGGCAATACAGAAGACTTTCAAATAATCTTCTGCGGCGCGGATTGGGGCACCACCACCACCACCACCACATAGACCCACATCATCATCAATAATAATAAAAACTTAGACTCGAACCACTAGATCACATTCGAATCCCGACCTTCAAGCGATGAATCGGAGAATAAGAAAAAGACTCTGTCATCAGACACACAACGCCTATGGCGTCGATCGACGGTGAGAGCCTCAGACGGTGTTGAATATTATAAAAAGGGGTCTTTTGTTATTTAAAATTATATATATATTGGATTAAAAAATTGAGGGTAAAATGATTAATTCACATATATCACAAGGCAAAAAATAAATTGAAATGTAAGTAAAAGTTAAAACCAAAATCTCCATCTAATTAAAAAATAACACAATCTTAAAAGGGTTTGAGTGTAATTTACCCTTATTTGAATCTTGAATGATACGTGATCACCACCACCCACTAGATCACGACGACGACGACGACGGCCACATAGACCCACATCATCATCAATAATAATAAAAACTCAGACTCGACCCACTAGATCATATTCGAATCCCGACCTTCAAGAGATGAATCGAAGAATAAGAAAAAGACTCTGTCATTAGACACACAACGCCTATGGCGTCGATCGACGGTGA